TATTTTTGGTGCCCCCTCAGCACTTGGTGCCCTACGCACAGCGCGTGATGCGCGTGGTGGGAGCGGCGGCGCTGCTCTCAGCTGTCTGTGTGACACAAAAGTGGGAGAAGTGAGAGGGCAGTGTGTTGTTTTCCTCAAGGGCGCTGGATGTTGTTGGTGGGGGGCAGTCATTCACCCATGGTGTTGAAACTGCTCTTCCCTGTAATCAGTGCACCCCGCTTCCTTTGATCACAACATGGTTTCAGTAATGAGCCACACATACAGGAGAGCAAAGCCCCTGCTGTCCCTTCAACCCTCAGAGGCACAGCTGCAGAGAGGTAGACCTCCAGTCTGTCTCACAAGAGACTTGTTAGTGGCGGTCACTCTTATTGTTGCTCATATTTAAGGTTAAGGATTTGATCCCTCCCCCAATATATTATCCAGTATTGTTATATTTTTATTATGCATGCTCATTTGTTTTTTATATTTAATTACATTTGCCGTCATGTAGTCTTTAGACTAACAATTTAATACTGTTATGTGTAATCTTCAGCAAATTTCAAAACAGAACAGATGTTCATACTGGTCATTATAATGTTATTTTGTAATGCCTACGTTTAATTGTAGCATTTAAAATGATTTATTTATTTTGAATAAATTTAGACAAAATAGTAAAGATTTGGTTATTTTTTAATAAATTTACACAAAATAGTATAGATTTGGTTAGTCATAACATGAAAATAAAATATATCAGCCGAAACTGTAATCTTCTAAATTGTAATCTAGTAACCTGTGATCTAAGTACCTGCATCTTTTACAATTTGCCGTTTTTAAATGTCTTTATTTTTTATTTGCATACACTTTTTGTGATATTTTATTTATGTATTTATTATTTTGCATTTATTTGGCAGGCTGGTGTTAGAAAAAAATGGCTAATTTGTTTTTGTGGAGTACACTACCATTCAAAGGCTTGGCTTTTTTGAAGGACTATGCGACACTGTAGACTGATGTAATGATGCTGAAAATTCAGCTTTGCCATCACAGGAATAAATTACAGTTTAAAACATATTAAAATAGAAAATAATAAAATTTTAAATTGTAATATTTCCAATATTACTGTTTTTTTTTATTAAATAAATGCAGCCTTGTTGAGCATAAGAGACTTCTTTCAAAAACATTAAAGAAATCATACTGAAACTTTTGAACAGTAGTGTAAGCTAAATCTTAGAAAAGCCAGTTGACAAGTTAACAGTGAAAATAAGAAATACTAGAAACTCTTTCCATTTAAATGCAAAAGAGAGTGTTAAAGGATCTGTGATGTTCTGTTTTCACGGAACAGTCGTGCATTCAACCACATATGGCATCACTGGAGCCGAGCGCACGTCCTTTTCCTAGTATGCATGTACAATGAGGAATTCCATCATGGTAGGGTAGATTTTGTCACATGTATTTTGTTTTCATTATTTATACAACATGCTTTTTTAAAACTCTTAGGTTATTTATGAAATCCAAGGTTGACTTTCCTGATGCACTCAGAGGAGATGTTTGTTCTTTTTTAAAGATGTTATTTGTTTTTCTGTCAATACATTACAGTATTTGATGAATCCTATTTTTTTGTTTTATCTAAAATTCTTCTTTACTAATTGCATTCCATTTTCAACAGTAGGTTCAATGCTACTGATAACATAGTCTTCAAGGATAAATCCCACTGTAAGTGCCCTGATCATAATTTGCAATGTAGTAAAGCTGTCTACAACCGTCATGCATGTTAAATGGCTGTCAACACTTTATTTAGTACCTTTATTGCCACGCAATATGCTGCCTGCTGCCATAAAGTGAATGGCTCCTCACTATTTTTGACATGACTGGCTTCATCATGGGCCCTGCGCATGGTGCTGTCAGCTCTCTCATGTTCGTGCCTTGAAGGTTGTACATTTTTTATAGCCAGATTAATTTTAATGGAAAGATGTAACCTTCTATATACCCAGAGGCTTGATACGGTTATTTATAGAGTCCTTAACAAAGTCAACTAGCAGATAGTGGTGCTACAATGACTCAACTTCAGTTCTCACTTGACATGTAAATGCCCAGCATCTAAGGGGCTGTTTACACTCACACCGTTTTCAACGAAAAACGGCCAACTTTTTATGCGTTTTGGAAGTTCATTTACATTTTAAGTGCAACTTTTAGAGAATCAATACTGTTATCGTCTCAGTGTAAACTACAAAATGTGGATTTGTGAAAACGGCGATGTCATGCACATGTGTATTATGTGTTCAGTCTATAGGCGTGTAGTGTTTCTTTACAAAGTGACATCGCCAACTACTGGCCTGGCATGAATAATACAGCGTTTTTAGTCGTTTTCACTGATCTGTGGGAACGGGGATCGTTTTGACGGCGTTGTCGTTTGTACGTGGAAAAACTCAAAGGAAAAACGTTTCCATTTTTAGTACATTGTTGTCATGTAAACATACCAAAGTCCAGGACTCATGCAAGGTAGAGGTCATGACTTCTTTTTTGAAAATAGAAATAACTGCCATTTAATTACATCGATGCATTTTTAACCAAAGTGACTTATAAAATAAGAATATTTTATTGCTATTTATTTTATTTTATTGTTTCATTTAATATTTTACTTAGATTTTTTTTATTTTCAGGAATGTCATTCTTAATTCAATTCAAATGGCACAAAACCCTGCTTCCCACAATCCTTTTCTCTGTTGCCAACCTGCTTGATTGCTCCCAAAATAGGCTGAGCCACCCCAGTTCTCCATGTAACTGTGTGTGTTAGTTTGACCATCGGCTGGAAACGGTTATGTAAAAGGCAGAATTGGCTGGTGTTAGATGAGCCTGAGAGGAAGCCTGATTGAAGGCAGAGCTTTGGCATGGCACGTGAATAATCTCTCTAGGCCTGTTTGGATCTGCATGCCCGGATGCTGCCGGTACTGTACGATGAGTCACGGATGATGAACTTAGCATTTAGTGCAGACTTGTGTGCCTCTGAGATCCTGCGGGTGTGCTGAAGTGCACACATGTACACACACAGCTGTTAGCTCTTGTGTTTGCTCTTGAGAGTTTGAGTGTGGAACAGCAGTGTGGGTGTTTGAAGATCTCAGCTAAATTATTTTGACTCTTGCCCTCCACGCGACACGTGTGACCTGTTATGCTTGCGTTAAACATACAACTTAGTTAAATTAAATGTCTGAAGGAGTTGATATCACATAGCCTGTGAAGAACATGTCCAGATCATATTTCCCCTAAATAAAAAATAAAAAAATAATTGTTTTGTTTTTTAAAATATATATATACAAGAATATTAGGTAACACTTTATTTTAAGGTGCTTGTAATAAGCAGTAATTAACAGTTAATAAGACACTTATAAGACCTTATAAGATGCATATAAGATGCATATAAGCATTAACTAATTATAATAAAAAAATGAAATAAAAAAAATAATTTCTCAAGTATCAATACATTGCACTTTTAGAACAGCCGAACAAACATAAATGGTAACACAAGCTCCCAGTCCCTTAAAAATTGACCTTCCCAAGAGGGAGTAGTTTCCCTGATCTCTTCAGGGCCTGGACCTTTAATTAACCCTTATATGAAGTAGTTAATGCTTATATGCATCTTATATGCATCTTATAAGGTCTTATAAGTGTCTTATTAACTGTTAATTACTGCTTATTACAAGCACCTTAAAATAAAGTGTTACCGAATGTTATACTATTATTTCTGTAATTAAGTTTGTGCATTTTCACATTTAATTACATTTTTATACTTATATTTTATGCTTATGCTTAATAAATATTAGTATAAATATTAAGAATATAAAATATATTATTATAAAATATTTTATTTAAATATACTACCTTTTTGATCATTTTTACTGTAATTTTCATTAAAATAATGTCATATTTTTATGTATTCCCTGTCTTTATTTTATTTTGGTAATTTCAATTCAAACGATCTTTGAATAAGAAATTTCATTTTAAATGTGACATATTTGGGTCTTTTGATTGGTGGGTTAACAATGATATGACATTCATAATCTGTTATGCTGCTGGGTAGCAAAAAGATGGCCATAAAAAAATGGTTAAAGCCAAAGTCACCTTCTATTGATGAATGGATGCATACTCAACATTTATATAATAAAAAAAATATTTTTTCCCCTCTTTTTGAAGTACTAAAGTAAGTTTAAAGGACTAAAAAGGACAAAATGAAGCCCTTGATTAGTTACATCAGGTGTGCTTGAGACAACACCTGTTTTGCTGATTTGTGCTGTTGTGAGGGATTCTATTCAGGGGGTTGAATAATTTTGAGACCGCAGAAGTCCTTCAAAGTTGCATTTTCAGTTGAATTTGGGGAAACCACTTGAAACGTTTGTTGTGTTGAGGTATTTCAATTACTTTTGTTTGATTTGTTCATTGCAAACAGCTGAAAGTCTGTCGATTTTGCCAATAAACCTGTTTTGCAATGGGGGTTGAATAATTTTGATTACAACTGTATGATTGATTGAGATTCACCCTAAAACATCCATCAAATTGTTTTCTAAATAAACCCACATAGACTAAAATGCTGATGTGATCTCCAGTTCCTTTCACACTCATACATTGTGAGTATAATTTAGTTTGAAGAACATAGTGGCCTCTGATTTTTCAAGATTGACTGGAGGTCTTGCTCTAACTGTTGCAAAAGGATTTGCTCACAGCACCCCTTAGCACTGGGATGCTGGGAATGGCTCGTGAAATCAGATTAGTAGAGATATAATTGTGTTAGTGAGAGTCTTGAGTGGCCTGTGAGACAGAAAGATCAGCCTCACGCAGGTAATCCATGCAAGCTGCTAAAAGTTGAAGCAAACAGTTCAACTATGTGTAAGAGGTGAAGAGCGTGTGCCCATTAATCTCTTGCAAAACAAAAAATTTAATTGCACACAAAGACATGCAGCTTTCTTATTTTGTCAGTGAGTTTAATGTGATCTGATAGCTAATGCCTCCTTTTTGTATCTCTTTCTCTTCAGAGTAAAGAAATCACCTTTCAGCTGCAAGAGGATTTGATGAAAGTCCTCAACGAGCTCTACACGGTAAGTGTTGTAAGTTTTGTAACATTGCTTCCGGCTAAACCCAGGAGTGTACTATGGTGAAAGACCCATAAAACCGTCTATACTTCACACATACTTTCCACATCTCTGACCTTGGCAGATTATGATGTTTATACCAATAATCAATAGTTAATTCCCTCACTTTAATTACAGTTGTCAGGCCGACTGCAATTGCTCGGAAGATTCATGTGTACTTTGCTTTCCCTGCGGTCTTAATAAGATGCTAATATATTCCCAGGTTTTCCCCTTAAAAACCACCTGCAGACTGAGGACTCTGTGTTTATTCGTTTGCAACGCTCAGCGTTACGTGTTTTTCCCTTAAATCTCTGTTCGCTTTTGTTGCTTTATACTTTGTGTCCAAACTAAACTTGGGATGAAGTGTAAATTATGTGATATGTTATATATCTTCCAAGTTTTTGTCTTAAATATCATTAAATAGTGACTATAATTTTTTTTTTGTTGGAAACCATGAATAGAAAGTTAAAAAAAAAAAACATTTATTTGATATAGCAATGTAAAAGTCTCTTTACTCTCACTTTTGATCAATTTAATACATCTTTGCTGAATAAAACTACCGGTATACATTTTTCACCAACAAAACTGCCCAAAAGTATTACTTTCAAAATTACTAAATGGGTTTCAATTAGAAATGATGATTTGGTTTGTCTTCTCTTTGAGAAACCTCAGCCCAGATTCTTTTCTTTTAAAGCCGTCACATTTATTCATTTTCTGTACGTTTGTTCTGGTAATTACACCACACGCCATTGCTTTCTTTTGATCGCTGTAGAAGTGTATCATCCCTTTTGACCTGAATTAGCCTTCGGGAGGGAAACACTCTTGTGGGATGGTTGCATCAGAAACCCTCCATGCAGCCACAGCCAGTAAAATAACAGGTCTGGTGTGACTCTAAAATTGGTCCTTCTAAAACCAGCAGAAATGTAAACAGAGTTCCAGACCAGTAAGTGGAGAGCGGGGCCCATGGTTTGGTCTGCCATTCTAGCCATGTGTCTAATTATACAGCCGTGGACAGCAGTGCACTGTGCTGCTCCGACTGTACATATTTATGAACAATATTTAGCTTGGTCCACGTTTTATAGTCAAGTTCTCTTTTGAGGCTTTATTGTACCATGAATTATAATGCTGCGTGACTGCCACCGTGATTATGGCCTGGACTGACTCTGTGTTCAGGGGTCTAATCGTGAATGGGTCCTTGTAATCAGCTTGGTGCTCAGTCACCTTTGATTGAGGAGAAGGCAAGCTGATGAGCGGAGCTTAGTGCTTTAGCGTTAGCGTCAGGCTTTGCAAGAGGCTTACAGAGCACAAGGCACAAAAACATTACAATCATACTTAGAAACTTGCCACCTAAATAAGCGTTAGCATATATTGGTAACAAGACTGACAGAAAAACATGAGAGAACAGCAGCTGTGATTTTTATTTTCTTTCTTTCTTTCTTTCTTTTTTTTTTGCTGTCTTTCTTGTTAGCAGTTCATGCTAATGCTCATATTTAGGATTCGCAAATAAAACAAACCCCTTACACTTAAGGATTAAAGTTTGGAGAGTATATCGTCCTCCGCCATTTGTGCTATACTTGCACTCCACCACTTTCTAAACAGTTGCACTAACTATTTTTACCTGGCAGGCAATAAAACAAGGGTCAGAAATCTATTGCATTTATATTGAATGATGGACACGAGCCATATCCCATGTTAATTTAAAATAATTTATATTTAAATATTTTTTTAATATTTATATATTATATTAAATATTTGACTATTTATTTAACACATTTTAGTAATATTTATTACTTTTTTTATTATTATTTATTTATTGCGACATGCAGCGTTAGCATTAGCGTTGTTTTGGCTAAAGGTTGCAGGCACGCCTTCTATAGTGGCTTTGGCTATACATGCCGTCCGCGATATTGGAACGGTCAAAACACCGGTCCGTGAACACTTGAGAGCAAGTTATCTGTGCATCTGCAACCGTAGTAAGACGCATGTATGAATATCTATATCTGCAATAGATTTCAACAGATTATTTTGCTAAACTAACACGGTACAACAAGACAAAGGCGTCAACTAATACGACATTAATAAGTTACCATAGTATAAAAACCTGTAATATTGAGTCAATATATATATATATAAAACACAAACCCCATTTTTACAGGAATTTAAATCTTTGCGGTTTCACAACCAGAAGCTGCGCAATATTGTGGCATTCTTGATTCTTTCACACAGTTTACTTTCTTAGAATCTGACATCTTTTTATACATTTATAGGAAAGGAGAGTCTGGAATATCAGCTGCATACAGTGTTCAGTCATGCCATGTCGATGTTACATCAATTACAACGTGAAAAAGCTTTTAGTGTCGATTAAGCACTCGCTCTTTGTGAAGAGTTTGACATTGTGGGCATAATTAGTTTGTTAGTACAGGCTCATAAGCTCTGAGTCACATCCTAATGCTTGTTATAAAATTCATCTGAATATGACTAATAGCCACCTAAACAAAACAATGACTCAGGCCATCTGAAGCAACATTTACCATTATGTCGCACATTCACTTCTCGGGTTTGATGAAAGAAGTTGAGTAAGGTTAAAAAAAAATATATATATATATATATTAGGTGGAACGGCACAGTATCCGGTTGATTCTGTTTTAAGATAAGTGCAATTACTAGCGTACGTCAAGTAGAACGTTTTACCAATGTAATTTTTTTTCAATCTCTCTATTAGTACCAGTAAAATTATATGTATTTTTTTCTGGGTAAAATATAAGCTCTATCATGGCCAATGAAGAGGCTAGAATTTCCATGAGAATTTATTTTGGTTTCTCTTTGAAAGCATGTAGTTTAAAAGCAAATTAAGTTATATGAAGGAGAAAATTATGCATTTATGTTATTTTATAACGTCAATTGGTGCTTTTTCAGCTTTTACATACATACAACGGAATATAAAATGCTGTTTCTTTTGAAGGACAACAGAATTGATTTGTGTTAAGTATGAAGATGAAAGTGTTTTGGCGCAGCTTGAGCAGCTGCAGCACCTCTCTAGAGCTCAGCTGGCTGTTGTTGAAATTTGACCTCTGACCTCTGGTCCCGCAGGTGATGAAAACCTACCATATGTATCACACGGAGAGCATCAGTGCTGAGAGTAAACTGAAAGAGGCAGAGAAGCAGGAGGAAAAGCAGATTGGACGTGTTGTAGATCCCGTCTTTCACATTCGACTAGAAGAAAGACACCAGAGACGGAGCTCTGTGAAGAAGATTGAGAAGATGAAGGAGAAGGTACATAAGAAATGGTCTTTAGCAGTTCGTAACCAGGACCATGACTAACCATCCAATGAAACTGTGAATGATAAAACTTGTCAAGAATTGTCTGCATCATATTTCACAGAAATAGAAAACAATATTTTAAGTAGACGTTATTTTATTATTGAAATAAAAAGCTAATTTTGTGATTAAATTATAGTATAAGTGTATATATATAAGTATATTTAGTAAAATACAGTTGTATGTATCATAGTAATATTTGTACTGCAAATTAGTGGGAAATATTACCCAGATTTAATTTAATTTGCTATTATTAGTAGTATTTGTAATGCGCTTCCTCATACACAATAGAATAAACACAATAGAAATGCAATAAAAAAACAAGCAAAATAAAGTTTATTTATTATTATTATTATTATTGTGAAGTTAATGCATCAATCATGTTTTTGATAGAAGCCATGCCTGACCCTGTTTTAACAGGAATAGCACCGTGTTATGCTCTTATTATATCTGTTTTCTGTTAAAGCCAGTGACAAATGATTTAACTGCTGTGGGATTGTTTTTTCCATTGATGCTTCATGGAACGAGACATTGTGGGAAGGTTAAAATATGGAAGTTAGCATGAGTCACTGTCTGTTGGTCAGTCAGTTGAGTTAGATGACTAAGTGGATCTGAATGTTAGCAGTATCCTTACTGATACAGGAAATGAGCCATACTTTATACTTTACAATACTTCAAATGACATCCATTGCTTTTAGATTTTTTTGTAGCAACGTAGATGTTCCCTGTTATTCCACAGATGTCTGTATAATCTGTATGATGATTTTTTTGCAGTCTAAGCTTATATGTCTGTTATTTTTGGAAGGACTTGTTCTCTGTTGTTTCACAAGAAATCTTCAAGGAACAAACTGCATGCAGAGATAAAAGCTCACTTGCATGTTTTTATATTTCAACCCTTTTCTCAAATTCTGTCTGTTTCGTTTCTACACTCTCTCTCATCAGAGGCAAGCCAAGTACTCGGAGAACAAGCTGAAGTCGATCAAAGCTCGGAACGAATACCTGCTGACGCTCGAAGCCACTAATGCTTCAATCTTCAAGTATTACATTCACGACTTGTCTGATTTAATAGACGTAAGTACCGGGGAAAGAAAAGGAGGTGCAGGGATTCTTTCTCAGATGAAGAAAGTTTGTGTGACAAGTAGGACAGTTATAAATAGTTTCAAACTGACCTCAGGTCTGCTGGGATGGCTAAATATGACAAAGACTGCTGCCGTTTCCCCCGGTTTCTTGGTTGAATATGTATCTTTGTCTACACCTGCTTTGATCTGAGGAAATGCATAGATTCTTCAGCGAGAGTTCTGTCAACGTTGCATTCAAATTTAAGCTCTTGAGACTTCAAATGCGGGCGTGTCTGACAGGAATGAGATGTGAGAAAATACGCTGTGGTTAAATTGCATTCATTTTCATATCTCCAAACAACCACACAAACCTGTTTCATGAAGGCCTTATTGTCAAATAAATGTTTGAAAAAGAATGAGGAGTTTAACACAATGTCTGTTTAAAATGAGGCACATAAGTGCTCAGTGTGAGAGAAAAAACAATCCTTCTAGAGCAAGGGTGTCCAATCCTGCTCCTGGAGGGCCACTGTCCTGGAGTTTAGCTCCAACCCCAAGCATCTAATCAAAGACTTACTAGGCATGCTAAAAACTTCCGGGCGGATGTGTTGAGGCAAGTTGGAGCTAAACTCTGCAGGACAGTGGCTTCAGGAGCAGGTTTGGACACCCATACTGTATAATAAGAATAAGCAAAGAAAATAATGGTGGTTTAAACGTGTGGGTGGAGAAACCAGAGGCCTTCTCCAAAAGTAGGAGACCAAGTTAAAACGCTTTTATTTTGCATTTTTATTTCTAGTTTAATACAAAATTCTTTATTCCATTTGAGTGGAACATTTACATGAATTTTAGAAGTTCATGATATACGCTTGGTCCAATTTTTGATCCAAAGGAGTTCAGCTATTTTCCTGCGTAATAATCAAGAAACTTTACTGCCGTACCATGAGTGCAGCAGGCGCAGGCACTTAGTCCCAGTAACGTTGGAAGTTACTGAGCTGGGGACTATTTTCAGGTGCTGCGTCATATCATTAGGCCTGCTGCACTCATGGTACGGCAGTAAAGTTTCTTGATTATTACGCAGGAATGAGAGTATAGTTCCTACCCATATCAGCCTAGAAAATCGCAACTTTACATTTTCCGTTGGTCTTAGTGCACGATGTAAGTACAGAAGAGTCAAGTTTTAAATAGAAAAAATATCAAAACTCTTTGGTAATTTTTTTTTGAGAAATGCTAATGGTCTTGTCCACTTCAATGATGTATGTTAAGCTATGCTAAAAGTGGTACCGCCAGAACCGGAGATCGGCTGAATGGATTCAAAAACGGTAAAACTCAACAGTTTAACTCTGGGGGAGTTGTAAAATGAGCCTATTTCCAAAAAAAGTGGAGTATCCCTTTAAGGTCCTGTAGGTGCCTCAGCGTCTGAATATGGCAAAACAATTTAAAGCATGAATGGAGAAGTGGCGGCAACTGGCCCTAAAACCCACTTTTCTGTGAATCAGACAGTCTGCGTCTCTTTTAGGTCAACTACTGTTATAATGTACGTTTTCACACTTCACCCTACTCTGCACTGCTCCTTTACTATTTTGTAGCCGCGGCCTGAATCATTGTCAATTCCAGTCAGCATAATTTATTTATAAACTGAGCATCCAGCAATATTATGTTCATCTATGAAACAAAAACTCTCTGCAGGGGGCTGGCAAGTGTTTTTGGGTGATACTGTATGCATGCGCAGTCAGTTTTTCAGACATTTCTTTAAAGGATAAAGAACTTGACCTTGTCTTGTATTAAAGACATCTTTGCCCCTGCATAATGCTATCAAACATGGACTTTCCATTATGGGTCCTATTGATATACTAAACCAGTCACAATGTGGCTCTCAAGTTGAGCTCCGGCACATGAACCTGTACAATTTTAATGAAAAAGGGGCATCAAAACTCTTAAAACAATCAGCAGGCCGACAAGCAGAGCTGGCCATCATGATAATTAAATAAAATGAACTCTGAAGGTGATTTGTTTTTTTGTTTTTTTGGTGCGAGATATGGCAGAACTTCCAGGGACACACACAGTCAGAACTTAAATAACCTCCCCAAGGATGGCCCAGTTCTTCCCCATATTTTATTATCCAGGACATCTCAGTTTCCCATGACTCCCATATCAGTCAAAATTGAATTATGGAAATTCCTGCCACGAAACAACCAGGCTTCTGGGCTTGTTTACAACTCTCCTCAGAGTCCAAGGCCTTATAAGACCGTACACCAGAGCACAGTCAGGATGTATTAGGTCACCTCGGAACAGTCAGACACAGGGTCAAAAATATTCACAAAGCAACAGTTACTGATAGACCAGTACATCATGCTGGGCCCTTGTTAATGTGTTTGGAATCTTAGATATTAGCTTTGAGTCAGACCTGACATTTGCTTAGCAAGGCCTTGTGCTTACAAATCTTGGCTGGTAACCAAGAGGCTGTAGGTTTGAGGCAATTCAAGAAATCTCACTTGCAGTTCACAGGGACGGTCATTCAAAATGTTACTACACTTTACAGTAAAAGTGTCAGTTAAAGGATTGCTTATGCAGCTTTCAAATCCTGTTTCACATTTGAAAAATCATGACTTTAATATACAATTTTTTTAGTTAGTTTTTTTTAGTTAGGTTCATATTTATATATTTTCTAATTACATTTTAATTTGTTTCAGTTCAAGTTTCAGTCATTTTGTTTTGAATCTTTTTTAAATAAATTAGTCTGACTTTATAGGTTTACTAAATTTTTATTTCAGATTTAGTTTGTTACTTAAGTACTTCAGCTTAAACTAAACAAAAATTGGAATTTTTGCCTGGACAACTAACTGAGATAAAAGCTTAAGTTTATTTATTTCAATTAACATTTATTTTATTACAAGTAACAGAAATGGTTTTGATGGTTTTAGTTTTATTTAACGATAACATCCCTACGTCTTTAATAGGTAACATTTCTCTCCTCTCTTTCTTCCTGTATAGTGTTGTGATCTGGGATATCATGCCTCTCTGAACCGAGCTTTGCGGACCTACCTTTCGGCTGAATATAACCTGGAGACGTCTCGTCACGAGGGCCTGGACATCATTGAGAACGCAGTGGACAGTCTGGACCCCCGTAGTGACCGCCAGCGCTTCATGGAAATGTACCCTACCGCGTTCTGCCCACCCGTCAAATTTGAGTTCCAACCACATATGGGAGATGAGGTCAGATTTAAACACATCCTTACCCACACACCCACGTACATATGTACACACGCACACAGTAGCAACCACACTGACACCCATTGTTTGTTTAAGTTATATTTTAACACCATGTAAACTGAGATGAGGTTATATGGGTTTATTTTCTTAACAATCTGTTATGTTGTAGTATTATGTATCTTTTTTTAATACATATTTTTGTATTATATAACTTGAATGTGTCTGGCTTCCGCTGCCATCCAGTTATTTTAGCTGTACAAAATCAGACCATAATGCTCCCTATATTGTAAACTAGTATTTATCATCAAATTATTTTAATATATTAGCTTACTTATAAACAAACTGGTTTGTAGCGCAGATAGTTTTACCCTTTACTGCACTTTATTTACCTACGATGGATAATGAATGGGAAGTCTTGCTCTTTTACAGAAAATCGCATACTTCCATGTTGACAAATAAGGTGGATGATAAATTAATAATTATAAATTGATTATTCACAGAAAAGCAAGAACATTAACCGAATGGAAATACCTAATGTTATTTTTTTGGGATTGAGAGAGAGGTTATAGTTTGTCAACTTCAGCTTTTTTTAAATCTTTTTATTTTTAAATGTTGATATTATTTTACAGATTGCTTTAATTTTACTAAACAGGATTGGATGTTTTAAAGTGGGACAAACCAACTTCTTCAAATCCATTGCAAATTGTTAACTATAGGATGATATTATTATAGAAGAAAAAAATTAAGGAGCACCTCCAAAAATTGTACCCAGGGACATGGTAAAAATAGCACCTCTCAGCCCAAAATAGTGAAATTATATCAAATTCACCCCTCTGTTCACTTTAAATGTGATATTGTGATAAAACAACAATAACATACATTTCATCTTTTCTCAATATTTTAAGACACTCTAGTCGGAGTAGATCATTTTTTTTATATTTGTGAAATATTTTTCTTCTACTTATTATGGCTGCATTTATTTGAGCAAAAATACAGTACTATTATGAAGTATTGTTAACATTTTAAATAACAAATGTAATTTATTCCTGTGATGGCAGAGCTGGATTTTTTTGACTTCAGTGTCACATGATCCTGCAGAAATCATTGTAATATGCCGATTTGATGCTCAAGAAACATTTCTAATTATCAATGTTGAAAACAGTTGTGCGATCCAGGATTTTTTTGATGAATATAAAGGTCAAAAGAACAGCATTTATTTGAAATAGAAATCCTTTGTAACATTATAATGTATTTAGTTACTGTCACTTATAATTAAAATGAATCCTTTTTTTTTTAATCCTTTGAATTCTAGTGTATATGTGATAAAGACATGAATATGTACTACATGTAGTACTAATATGTACGATAGTAGCACTGACCCAACACCCTTCACCTTCCAAATAACCTGCAAGCAGACGTTACGTTTCATTTTAACATGATGCTCCCATCAGCAGCTCCCATCCATTAACTTCACGTTAATCTTGTTTCTGGCAGTGGTGAAGCGTATGAGATCATACAGGATACAGAATGGAGAAAAGCATCTTAATGAAATTCAGAATTATATGCGGTCAGGATTGCTTCATATCCCTCTTTTATTGAGTCTCAGCTGGTAGCGTGGTGTTTACGCAGAGCGCTGAGAGCAAATCATATTGCATTTCTCACCCTCAAGTCGTTTTTAGAGAGTGTTTATTGGATTTATTCTCACTAATTGGCCATTTTGTCACTGATATCATGTCTGCGCATGGTTTATAACCTGTTGTTTTGTGGTCATGCCTGTACTCTCTTGGTCAATGAAAGCAACTGGGGTTTTGCTTCATAAAAAGTTATAATGCTTGTGCCAGGTGTTGGTTATTTGTTTGAATTTATTTGAGATTCTTCCTTTAGGGAGCCATGTTCTAATACGAGCAGGTTCTCTAATGGCAGTTGTCATCTTGATTTCTTGTGATTGGAAGCCTTTGTTTTTGTTTTTTAGGTGTGTCAGATCACGGCCCAGCCTCCCGTGCAGGCAGAACTCCTCCTGAGGTTCCAGCAGCTGCAGTCCCGCCTGGCCACCCTAAAGATTGAGAACGAAGAGGTAAGGTCACCCCAAGTGCTGGCAGAAATTTAAAATAGTTAAAAAATGACATTTGCAACCGGTTTTAACCGAGTCCCTCTCATCTTTATATATGATTTCTGCAGTGCCGAAAACAGACTGAATCAGGGAATTCAGTCATAAAAATGGAATTTACAGTATAATGTGCAATGTCGCAGAATTTCAGTAGAGAAAACTATCTTCATATCATGTACCCAGAAACTGTCTAAGTTCTTCATGGCAGCCCAGGAATTGTGGCAGAAATATATTATTGTACAGTAGAATGTACTTCTCAAATAATGCTGTCATTTTTTGTGTGCTTGAGTGCTTAAAGGTGAAGTATTACGTTTCTGCGACACTAGTGGCACCTTGCGGAATTAGAAAAATATAGAATATCTTGCGGGTCACACGTCCCCCTCCCCCAATTCAGGCATCACAGCTCTTACGGGTGCTTGTGAAGACATGTCTCAACAGTTAAAAGTAGGCTACTTTCCATAAAAGTACATGTTAGGAATGCTTTTTAGCTGTGCTGCAATGCATCATGAGTTTGCAATTGAGTAGGCCAACACTGTCTAGAGCAAACGCGAGCTTCTTGCTTCTAATAAACCCATCCAACGTATCTGGACGGGGCACATTTCTTTGACTTGACGCCACAACGATTTGAGTAACATTATAAAGTTAACTGGTACATTTGTCTTTCTGAACTGGTGCATGATGATGCTGTATGGTACTGCATCCATTGTAGTGTGTTGCATGATATGGTACTGCGTCCATTGTAGTGTGTTGCATTACAACACCCCATTATCTTTGACTTGTTCATTAACCGTTTAATCTTTGAAGGTCGAAATGCAGCGAATATCGGCTTGCACTTCTGTAACCAAAGCTGAATTTCTATTCCCATGCAACGCACCAGTCATGATCCCACACCAGCTAAACACCCTCTGGCCATGAATGGCATACTAATAGTAGTCAGTGAACAATAAATTGGATGTATTTAAACAAAATAAAATCTAGCATACTTCACCTTTAAGAGTTTCCCAGAAATGAGCGTGCAGTTCACCTTGGGTTATAAAGCATCTGCTAAATAACAATTGCATCAGATGATCACCAATGGTCTTAAAGGGTTTTGTTCATTTAAACTGCATAATTGAATTTGAATAAGTTAGCCAAGTCCAGGAGCACACAACCCGTATCGTCCTGTTGCATTAGAGCGAGACAGCTTTGCAGTGTGTTTGCTTAATTGAGTTGGCAGAAGCTGATCGTAAAAGAGGCTTTGGGAGGACTTACAAGAAATAGTTTTTTTCCTCCCTGCAGAGTTTTCACTGTCCTCCAGATAACCTGCGTGACGCACAGAGAAGCTTCTCTCAGTGACACCATCTTCCTTTTCTTCCTTCAGACTGTGTCTGTCTTTTTCACATTTTATCTCTCCTCCGAGGCTGCAACATTTTAATCAGTTTTTAAGTTAAATGCTCGGGCTGCTGCCGGATAAAAAAAACCCCACTCTGTCAGGAAGATGGAGGAGTCTTGCTTTGTTTCTTGGCTTTATCATGTCCATCTTAGATAATCGACTGTCTTACATCTGCCCTCTTCTTCTCTTATCTCATTTCTGTTATTTCTCTACCATAAATCTCTTTCTCAGTTTTGACAGACAAAATCGTAATTTAGCACGGAGTATGTACATGTGATAAAGATTATGTATATTGTTGTTCCTGCACAAATTTGACTTATGTAGGTTAGGCAGATCTATCTGCAACATTCAACGCAGCTTTGGAATTGGTCAGTTCTGTATGAATATTGTTGCTCCTGGCAGTTACTACAGTCCTTAAGCTTACTTAAGTCCTTAGCTGATAAATCATCTGCTGTGAAGAACGATTGCTCAGGCCACTGTCTGTGTTGTCATGGAAGCTAAACGGTCCTGGAAAAATGGCCAGCTAACTGAAATGTTGCAGGTTGTAGTATAAATATCAGTTTCTGTATAAAATGAAAGACTCATGAAACATTTCAAAGAAGGAAAATCCAAATTTTGCATCTTATTGTCAGGGTTATGTTAAGTTCTGTTTAGTTTAATTGTGTTTTGGATATGTTTTGCCTGTGTTTCTGGTCATTTAGTTTCCATAGTTACTCATTAGTTTCTCAGCTGTTGTCAGTTCTGTTGATTACTCTTGTCTGTGTATTGAAACCTTTAGTTTCCTCTGCAGGGCTGGACATTAACGCTTGTCCGGAACAAGTGGGTTTTTTGAAGGAGCCTGATTATAAATTCAGTGATTAAAAAAGGGAAGCAATGAAACGAAAGAATGATTCTAATTTTATTACATTTATTGTAAACAGTAAATGATAATGGATAGTGTTTTTCTGGTAACAAGGTCGTGCTGTTGAGTCTCACTTTCCTGTCTCTTTGTGAGAGTCTTGTGTGGAGAAATCAATACAAATGAGCGTAACAGCACAAAGAAACTCACAGTAGAAACATACTGAGGTAAAATCACAAAATGTTTAGTTTTTTATTTATAACATATTATATACAGTCAAACCAAAAAGTTTTTGATATTTTTTTACTAGTGGGTGTAGGACACTATAGTTCACTTATGTAAGTGAGGATAGCAAAATAAAGTAAACTGCCATATTATACCCCAAAATTCTTCATACCAGTGAAATTTATAAAATTTTGGGACCAAAAATTATTCAGACACTTTTAGGTTTAACTGTAGTTAAGTAACACAACACGACCAAGGGAGCTGTTTTGCAGAATATTATCATGATTACAAATGTTACATTGATTTTATTGTTCAATAAACAAGTAGTTACTTACAGTTTAGACACAATATTGACTATTCTAGTTCTATTTCACCAACGAAAGTAGTTCCCAACAAAGATCACAGCAGAACTATTGTGCATTCAAAGCAACACTCAGCTGTGTTATTTTACTGAATAATTTAGCGTTTTGAACGAATCGGTTGAGTGAATTCCTCAGTGACGACTTATTTGTATATTCAAAATGCTATGTACTAAAATACTTTCTTTATTGCAGTTGTAATTTTGCGGTGTAAATTATTTCATTGCTAACTGCCCTATAGTGTTTTATTCTAATTTAATTTATTGATCAAATGTAAGAATTTGACATGAAAGATGACACATGCATTTAATAAGGTTAAAAATAAACTGGTAAAAGGTAAATAACGCCTTGGGGTAAAAATCAAAAGTATGCAAAAGCTGAGATAAATTATGTTTACATTACATAATTTACATTACAACTTGCGCTAAATGACAAGTGTTGGACTCACCAGGCTGAAAGGAAGCGGAAGCACAGACCAGGATGTGAGGTCAGGGAACTTCCTGGTTTCTCCAGATGGCTTAAAGCATCTTTTTGACATCAGACACAAGGTCTGTGAGGAACCTCACAGGATACTGGATACAGTGTTATGTTTTTGTGCAGCTGTTTCCTAGAACCTTCACTGCATTAGAAGATATAAGAAATGACCCGATGAATACTTGCATTATAGTGGAACTGTTGTAAACCACTCAGCTTTACCTCATCCTCAAACACACCTTTATCGGACACAAAGGAAGAATATGTCTGTCAGTTAGAGCTTCCTGCTTCATCCTTTCGTTTTTATTCAGCAATTATCCAGCTGTCAGCTCTTCTTTTTTCCCCATTCTTCTTCTCAAGCTCATAATTGAATAATGTAAATGGTGTTTGCTGTAGAGATTAGGGTGAGCTTGGAGTTCTCAGATGAGAATTGACAGTGTTGTCTCTTGACTTTCTGTCCCACTGTCCTTATCTTTTTCTCCCGCCTTCTTTCCTTCTCCAATGGTTATTCTGTTCACATCAAACACTAAAACCCCACTAAGGCGCCGCACAGTTCTCCGTAGGAAGTGTCTATTTGTTTTGCTGGAGATAAACCTCTGGGAGGCACATCAAACGCTGGGAGATCTGCTGTTCTCCTGCTGCTGCGTGAATCACTGATCGTGTGATTGCGGCCCTCTTTGCTGCCTTTGTACTGATTATCGGGCCCTTCTGTTAGTGCTAATGCTGATTACCAGAGTGCTACAGATTTACCAAAATATCCTCTTTATTCAGTGCCATCTTATCACCTCGAGGAGGTTGTTCTACAAGCTTACCGATCACATATTCAGAAATACTAGTGATAATGGAATTGATCAGCTAATTGGCATTTCCAAACAGTGTTTTTGTAACACTTATAATACATAATGAATGACACATTGCTTTAGAAGATACCTATGTTTAATTACATGTATGTATATCAGATTCAAGCACATTCCAATGTAAATGTATTTGCAAAGATGTCAATGAATCAAAATCGTGAGATGTGACCTAGGTAGTATGCATACTCAGACAGGTTAGCGGTATACAGGTGATTAGGTTCGAATTTGGCTTGGGTAACTTTTCCGATCCCTCTTGCCACTGTTCTCCATATAATTTCTCCTGTATCCTTTTTAGAATGTCATTATGAATAAAATAACAATAAATATCAAATTTAATTGTAATTTCTAACTATTGAATATACAACATCTAATGATCTGTTAAGCATCTTGTAATGTAAAAATAATATGGACTTTTCTAATAGTGCGTTTGAAAAGTAAAAATTTGTATTTATTTATTTTTTGACACATGCTTCCACTGAGGGATTGACAAGCTTTCGACCTCTTTTCCCCATTGTTCATCTTCCCTATACTACTTTCTGATTTTTTTTATATTTAATCTCTTTTTTTAAATATTTGTATTATTTCATAAGTAATTCACACTACATAGTATTTCAAACCACACACTTTGAAAGTAGGGCTAAGCTGAGTTTTTTTTATTCAGCTAAAGTATAGTTTATCTTTAGCATTCATGTCTTAAACCACCTTAGGTCTAAAAAAAGCTGAAGGGCCCAGGCTTTTCAAGCAGTATTAAAGTCGGCATGAAACTAATGTTGTGATAGTCTTTTCCTCCCTGTTGTGACATATATCCAAGTCATGGTGACTTTAAATATACTTCTTTAAAAAAAATCCCTCTTATTTTCCGTGTCATTTCATTTCAACTGCTTTCATGTCCTTGAAACTAAGCTCTTCCCTCCCCTCTTCACTCAATTTACCTCTGTGCAACCTGTCTGCCTTTAAGGCAGAACTGAGGTTCACTTTCCCAGTAAACAACATCCTACAAGACAGGTGTGGCATATCCTCCATAAAGGCTCCCAACAAAACAAAACCACAGACAGATTAATGGCATAAAACTGATGATTCTCACGTTCCCACGTCATCAGGCCGATGAATCACAAGTTGAACAGTGACCTGGATCTAGGTGTGATTGTTGTTTTCTGTTGACTTGTATATCATACTCCATTGATTTGAGGAATGATTCAGACTGAATGGGACAATGAGATATGAGCTCACTGTGTGATGAAACTACCATGGTTTTCTGTCGCATGATATGGTGGTTATTTAGGGGTTATTTAGGTCTGGTGGTGATACTCACTGCAGGTTGTATGACATTCAGAGTTGCGAATTTATCTTGTGTGCGAAATTGGAATACCACATAAAACATTTGCAAATAAAGCACCGTTTCCATCCCATGTTCAATCGATCAAAATCATCACTTTCTGGGAAGTTGCTGCAATTGGGGAAGCCACTGTGGCTCTTTATTCGTACATTATAATAGAGTGTGCAGACGAAACGCAATAAATGCTGTCGTTATCTTGCATTTGGAGGCGGATGCCTGGTGTTTGGGAACGCAATCGTGTGAGACAGTTCTGGGAGGTAATTATACCCAACAATTCTTGGCTCAGGCATTGCGGAATGACCAAACTAACATTTGTGATGTTGTGCAATAAAATTGCTCTGTCGGTTAGTCCAGCTATCCAATCACATCTTCTTTTGGGGCAAATTGAGGGATTTATTTGGTAAATGTGTTTTCATTTTAGTTTGTGCATGTCTTATAGAATGAAAAAAAAATCCAAATTTTTTTCATGTGGATTTTTTTGAATTTATGCTCATCTTGGTGTTTCCATCCAGCTTTTTTTTCTTTCTTTTTTTGTGCGGTATCTTAAAATGTTGATAAAAATATGCAGATCATGGAAATATAGCTATTGTCTGTTTGTGTATATGCATGTTTTATAGTGTTGTGCAAGAAGATTAAAGTGTGTGTGCAAACAAAAAAGGCTATGCTTCCTTTCCATACTCTTGTGTATGTGAGAGAAAGAGAGCATGTCAGTGTGAGAGAAATTTGTTCTTCCATACTGTGCAGAATCTTTCAGCAGGTGAACAAATGCATCCACTGAGCGATTGCACCCTCTTTCAACATCTTTTCCCCATATTCTTTTTATCTCATTGGCATCTCCCTTTCACTATTTTATGTGGTTATATTATTGTGTTTTAATTAGGTCTGATAATTGATTAAATATTGTAATTGGGTTAATTTACGTGATATGTTGATTAAATAAGCAAATTAATCAGAGCTAATTATATATATCAGTATTTGCTAAGAAATACCCCTCAAGGATAAAGCATTGAACAAACATCACGAATATTGTTTATTTTATACATTGGAGCTAGTCTACAGCAGTGTTGTCAAAAATACCGATATATCGATACTCACTGCTCTTGATTGAATAACTTTTGTAACTTTAATTGTAAGCCTTAATCTGTATTTAATTTTCACAATGAAAACTATCCAGTGTCATTTTACATTTGATTACTTTCATTTCTGTAGTACCTGAATACTACTGTTTAGGTCCTTGCACACTGAGTCCGAAATTTTCGCTCGTTAAAAAATAAATACAACCTCACATGGGGTCAATCACGTTTACACACTGCCATTAAAAAAAATCGGATCGGTTTCGATTTTCTGCGTTTTTTCGCGTCGGTAGCAAGCATTTTGAGAGGTGTTTTAACAATTCAGAGCCACCGAATGACTAATCGAATGACTAAATTTCGGACCTTTAGACCCACCTGAAAAACTTAAAGCCATGTTTATTTTCTTTGTCTCATTATTTTTTTATTGTATTTATTTGTGCTATTGTTTGTAATTTGTTTATTTGTTCTAATGTTATCACCGACTGTTTACTTGTCTTTTTTTGTGATTGAGATAGCCAAAGAGTTTTTGAAATTGAGATAAATTATCTGTATGGCAGTATATATGGCAGTTATTTTTCAAGGTATCGTATCGGAGTTGGAAATGTCAGTATCGTGACAACACTACCTCTACAGCAATTCGCTTTGCAGTCTATCCCTCTTGGTATACACAGTTCCAGACATTTGTAATTGTATAATAATGTTGCATGTCTGACACTGGAAAGTTACAGAAATGAATCCTCAAGGCCATCAAATGAATGATGTTCCCTTGGGTCATCTTCCTCTCCCCTCGCTGTAAATTGATTTCTTTGGTCTGGTGTCTTGCTCAAGGCCTGCTATTAGTCACAGAGCACATGTCAAGCAGGGACAGTCAGAGGACTTGTCACTTGTTTGGTGCTTAATGTGTTTTTCTATCGCTTTTGTTGCTCCTGTTATCACTTTTGTACTGATACACATTAGCAATAAATGTTGCAGGAATATTCTGGAATGAAATTGAGTTGGGTTGTCCCTGTAACACTGTACTCTTAGTTGCTATTGTATGACTGTGGCATCCCTTCCCTACTAAAAATGTTCTCCTATTTCAGATCAAGAAGACTTCAGAGGCCACTCTTACTACTATCCAGGACATGGTGACCATCGAGGACTATGACGTGTCGGAATGTTTCCATCACAGCCGCTCCACTGAATCGGTCAAGTCCACTGTGTCAGAAACCTACCTCAGCAAGCCGAGCATCGCCAAGAGACGCGCCAACCAACAGGAGACGGAGCAGTTCTATTTTATGGTCAATTTGTGTTTCATAAAAATGTAACAAGTTTAAACCATCACTATTTTAATGAAATGTTTCATAGGCACGATATCAAGTTTCACCTTTAAACTGTGCATTCGAAGTTTAAGATTTTTTCAAATATTTTTGAAAGAAATCTCATGTTCACCAAGACTGCTTTTATTTAGTCAGAAATACAGTAAAAAACGTAATATTGTCAAATATGGTTTTCAATTATTATTATTGGTGCTCAATTATGAATAATGGTTCTTATAATTATCAATAAAAACAGATATTGCTGCTTAATATTGTTGTGAAAACCATGATACATTTTTTTGCAGATTAATAAAAAGTTCAGTGAACAGCATTCCTTCGAAATATAAATAATTTGTAACATTATAAATGTCACTTTTGATGAATTTAATGCATCCTTGCTGAATAAAAGTATTCTTAAAAAAAAAAAAAACGTAATTGCTCTAAACTTTTGAATGGTAGTGTTTCACTATTTCCACAAAAATATTAAGCAGCTTAAACTGTTTTCAATATTGATAATACTAAGAAATGTTTCTTGAGCACCAAATCTGCATATTAGAATGATTTCCGAAGGATCATGTGACGCTGAAGACTGACGTAATTACTGCTGAAAATTCAGGAAGAAATTACATTTTAAAATGTATTAAAATAGAAAAAAATATTTCACAATATTACTGTTTTTACTGTATTTTGATTAAATAAGCCTTGGTGAGCATAAAAGACTCAAAAAAAAAAAAAAGATTCTTTATTTTTAATTATATTCTTTTGGCCGGTAGTGTGTGTATACTATATATACTTTAAAGTGTTTTGTTTTTTTGTACATTGCATTTCATTTGAATTTAATTAATTCATGTATTTAAAAGGTTAATTCTGGTTCTGTGCTTAAATGATCCTGCTGTCAAATGTTTTTGCTCTCATGCTTGTCTCAATTGTGTCCCTTCACAGAAGTTCCGTGAGTATCTGGAGGGCAGCAATCTCATCACTAAGCTCCAGGCAAAACATGATCTACTGAAGAGGACCCTTGGTGATGGTATTGTTTGCCTTTCTTTCCTTCTTCCTTCCTTCCAACATAGGGTCAACACTTTAAACTGAAAGTACACAATTAATGATGATATTAGCAATATAACAAATGTGGATCCTAATCCTCTTAGCCAGTAGAAACCAGCAGGAAGATGCTCATGACACACCGCTGCTCATGTGGGTGATGCAACCTTATAATAACCTCAAGTTAATTCATTTTGATAGTATGAAGGATTATAATTCCCTCGTCATGTATAAATCTGCTCATCGTGTTTTGGAGCCCGGGGCACTTCAGTCTTGTGTTGTGAACACTGCAGACTCTGCTGTTAGGGGGCCATTGAGTGAACGCTGTGTGGGTGGGATCAACAAAGCTGTCAGGAACCCAGTTCCCTGGCATAAAATCAACCGTGTCAGTTTTTTTAAAAGATGTAGGCAGTAGTCTGCCTGCTGCATTTTGGCACTTTGATGAAATATTTTTTATAGCTAAACAGGTACCTGTAGCTAAAACTTTTCACCTGCTACTGCAGTGGAAATGTAGAATTTCTCTACAAAACGTAACAATGTCCTAAAGGTGCATGTGTATGGATGTCCAGTTCCTGACAGATGGCTGGCTGTATGTGCTTTACTGAGCATAAACAAAAGCCTCCCCTGGGCCTCTGAAGAACTGTATTGTCATATTCTCTCTCTCTCTATTTCTCTCTCTCTCTCTCTCTCTCTCTCTCTCTCTCTCTCTCTCTCTCTCTCTCTCTCTCTCTCTCTCTCTCTCTCTCTCTCTCTCTCTCTCTCTCTCTCTCTCTCTCTCTCTCTCTCTCTCTCTCTCTCTCTCTCTCTCTCTCTCTCAGGTTACCGGCCTGAATATGCGACTACAAGGTAAAAATTGTTCACAGTTTGTCTTGTTTGTTGTCTTCTGCAACACATTAAGGTGCTAGATGTAATATTAGGTTATGTCAGACTTTCTTCAAACATTCTGTCTGTCTATCTGTCTATCCGTCTGTCTGTTTGTCATTTATCATTTTATCATTGTCAATATTTCCATCATTTGTTCTCATTCTACTCTATCTTTCTTTCATTTAATCTGTCATTCTATTGTTCTATTGGTCTGTCTGTCTATCATTATGTCTGTTGTTATATCTATCAGTTGTTCTATTTGTCATTCTATTTGTCGTGCTATCCATTGTTCTATCATTCTATTGGTCTATCTATCTGTCTTTTTGTTTTATCTGTCATTCTATCTATCAGTTGTTCTGTCATTCTATGTATCAATCATTCTATGCATCCTTCTATCCATCATTCGTTCTGTCGGTCTATCTGTCATTCTAATGTATCTTTTTTCTATCTATCCATCCATCTATCTATTGTTTGTACTATCGACCTATCCATCATTCTATCAATTTTTCATTCTGTCTTTAGTTGTCTATTATGTCAATCGTTCTATTTTTCCTATTTATCAATATTTCTATTGCTCATTCTATCTTTCTATCTGTTGTTCCTGTCTATCTAAAAGCACTTGTGAGAAAGTAGACCTGAAAGTTAAAGAGAAAAGGGTACATACACAGATAAGATCCAAAGAGTAGACCAGATGCTTGTTTGTTCTCTGCCATAATTCACCATATGTTCATGCAGCAATCTTCCCCGGGGTTCCTCCCCACAATGCTTTGCACTAATAGTTCTCTTAAGATTCAGCCTCACCCAGAAATCCTAAAGTTTGAAAGCTCATAAAAAGCTCTCTTATTGATTAAAAGACAAGGGTGAAGAGTGAACTGAATTGGTTGAACTTGCATGTTACCCTTTTTTATTTTCTTTCAGTGTTAAGCTGTTGTTGCACATGTCAGTTATAGATCCATTAAGGACATAGCATCAATTCTATCATAAAACAAGAACTGCATTCTGATATTGAAATGAACTCAGATTTTTAGGTAAAGGTATAACCCAATGTGATCCCACCAGCTCCCCAAGCCGAGCCAAAAGATTTCGTGCTTGGACATCTCTCGCACTCCCACCTCCTGCTGTTCCCAGCAGACCTGCCATTTCCATGACCTTTGATGTGCGGTGGAAGTGAAGTTTATGAACAGGATATTGTCATGTGCAGATCACTGAGCTAGACACAATGGGAGCTTACCCCGAAATAACCTGAAATCACATGTCCACCACAAAGCTGTTCCATAAACTATGTGTGAGATGTGAACTCATTAGTGGTGCGCAAGGCTTACAGAGCATATTCAAGATTAAAAGTGTAAACATCTCTTTATAGGCCTCCCAGTCTTCCTCCTAAACCGTTTGGCACACAGAGGCCCAGGCCACGCTCTGTATTTAACGTTAAGCTGTTTAATGGCAATTTGGAGTCATTTGTTAAGGTACTTAGAGCTTTTGGGTACTGTACTACCTGCACTGAATACCGCTGCTTGAAGCCATAATGATCCACGGCTACTTGCTTCTACTTGACTGATCATTATGGCTGGGGAAGGTATTTAAACAGAGCAGAAACAGGGGTATGTGTGGGTGTGTGTACAGCGAGATGACTGAGATAAAGTGAGCTTCAGGCATCAACATTCACCCAGTTGCTTCAGGGCAGCATGAAAGCCTCTTAAAGGGATAGTTCACCTAAAAAAAGGGGGGGATGGGGATTCAGAATTCCCTGTCTTGTGCCATTCCGAACCAAAGTTTTTCTCTTCTGTGGAAGACAAAATAATATTCTGAAATGTTCTAGAATGATCATTCTGCTCTTTTTCCATGCAGGGAAAGTGAATGCTAAAGATGTATGTTGTTAAAAGATGCAAAGTGCGTTAAAAATGGTCATTAGGCACTATATTCTAAGACTTTTGAAGCCATATGTTGTGCACTTTACTATGCACTACGTACGTAAATGTAATCAAATGCACTATTTTTGGAATTTTCAGTGTAAACACACTACTCACACTGTTTATACTACAAAACAGCATAGTTCATAAGTACATGAATTGGGACTTACCTATACAATAGCTTTAAAAGTCATTATTCATTGAAAATCATTCCTCTGCAGTTTTAAACTTGGCAAATCTAGAAGTTATGAAAGATGAGAACCAATGACATTGACTTAAATATTATTTTTCATATAACCGTTCCACACATCAAGCTGTCGAATGACTTGTGGTCATATTGGCCACTTTTAGGGTGCATCATTTTTTAAGTTTGAGAACATCTGACTCTATTCACTTTTGATGAATGGAGAACAACAGAGTGACCTTTATTTGTTTATTTTCTTGTGTTCCGTGAAAAAAGAGTCAAAAAGTTTTGGAATGACATAAGGGAGAGTAAATTATGACTAGTAAAGAATTTCGGGGTAAAAACTTGATGATGAAAGTTATTTGACAGTAGGATTCAATGTTGCGTCAGCACATCCCCTCTTTCTCTCTGTGAGGCTGGAGCTCATGGTGTAATTGGGTGACTAATAATGATTTTTGTAGGCTGTTATTGGTGGCTTGTAGTGCTGGGACCAAATAACCTGGGGATCGCCTCTTTCTCTGTTTTTTCTGCTCTCTCACTCTCTGGCTCTCTGTCCTGTCGTTCTGCTGTCCTTCTCTAATAGTCGTGGACGACGGAACTCACACACAAGGCACCAGGTACAGAAACAGTCGGCTTGTCCTGATTAGCTCATTGCTTCATGTCTGTCTAAGCTTCCAGTAGTTCAACTTCCAGTCACCTCTGCTTAATCCTAAGGAGCTGTGAACCATGTACAGTGGCGTCTGAATATCCGAGACCACACTGATTCTGGGATTTCTATTTAAAACGGAAAACAAGGAAACTGAGAAAAGTTATACATTGAAATGAATAGGAATATTTGTCTACGAATTTCATTTTATTAAACTTTTTAGTCAAATGGTTATGTTGATAATATAATTTGTAAGGGAAAATGTTGTATTAAATTATCAATACGCATGATAGAAGCATTTTTACTAGTGGTCTCCGATTTTTGGACCCCAAAGTAAATGTGTCCATGTGCTTGACAAGAGTTCATCCTTCTTGGCTTCAGTGACCGTAATGCACACAATTATGATTTTAATTGAGAAATATCCCACAATTTTAAAGCTTTTCACAAAATAATAATAATAATACAGTGTAGTTTATGTATAGCACATTTCATGCACTGTAGAAATTTAGAGTTCTTTACACTGACTAAAAATAATTTCTAGTATTAAGATTATAAATCAATCTGCATAAGATTTGAATATATAAATCCTACAATACTTATAATACTTACAATACTTTTAATTATTGCACAACATTTTTTATATCCCATCATTATTTGAATTATTCTGTCTTTTGCTTATGAAGTGAAAGTGTTGCACAGCAAAGTGCAGTTCCCAGCATTCATAACTTTACCACCTCTGTTTCAATTATGATTTATGATTCGTTGCAGATGTACAATATTAATATTTAAACATGTTCACAGCAGCACATTTTGTTTTCACCTTATTGCAATGATCATAGCTGGGAAATGTAGCCAGTGAGGTCTGTTTCAGTTCCTGGCACTGGCACAGTGTTCGGACTTGGCACGTATTCCCTGGGTTAAAAGCAGATAACAGCATTTTTAAAAGCTTCTAAGATAGAGTGTAGCCGGACACTGAACAAACAGCTCTAACCCCACACAACAAGCAGCCCGCACACTAGAATCAAATAGCTGGATTCACTAAACCATTTCGAGTTTTCCACCGGTGGCATTTGCTCCATTCATGTTAAAAAAACCATGTTAGCATGTAGATCTTAGTTGTCATTTTGTTTCCTGTCTTGGATGGGTTAAAGCCCGAAATCTTAGGTGTGCTCTTTAAAAAGAGTCTGTAGGAGTCAAGAAGGATTATCTTATCATCTCTGACATGAATGATACATGGTGTGTGGTATATTTTCAGTTGATTTAGAGCTAGACTGATTGCTTGGCCCATATCCTGAGTTAATGCCCATGTTTGTCTTGTTTTAAGGACTCTGGACAAGCAATACCTCGAGTTGTTGAGAGCTCTATTCGATTCATCAACCTATATGGTAAGTTATATTGCAAATGTCTTGCAACTCAAACCATACAATAATTCCTTAGAATGGCCCACCATTGTCAGTGCAACAGAAAAGCCCAAAGAAATTGTTCATCAGTTATGCTACTATCTTTAAACTTGCTACCTAACTGCTACCTGTGCTGTCATTGGTTATCTGAAGTTTGGGATTGATTCAGTAAGTTTTAGAGTGGGTTGTTCCAAATCCGTCATATTCCAGTGTAGGCCATGCACAAACTTGTTTCAGATCTATCGTAAGTTTACTGTTGTGCTTTCCTGTCAATGTCAGAGGACGTTCAGTCCAAAGAGGTCTTTATCATATATGCTTGTATTAACTGTGCGAACACAGTCATATATCTTGTGCTTCTATTGTAAGAGCTGAAAGCTGTCTGTGTGTGGCCGTCTAGCTGGAACTATAGAGACATTTTTAATTAATCTTTTCTGACCCTCATCCAAGCTTTCCATTTAAAAGCTAATCCGGACTGACGGATGTTTTTGTAGAAGTTGATTGCAGTCTCTCTCCTTCATTCATTATCTTTAATTAGAAAAAGGGAACTTTTCTAAAGCACAGGGCTTAGCTTTTGAGGTTGGGATTTGACCGTGGTTACTATGGACCAGCCTTTATTTCCAATGGATTTAAATGAACATGGGAAGACACTTATTTCAGTTTCTCTCTTTATTTTTTTAGGCCTCCAACATCAAGGAATATTCCGAGTGTCTGGATCTCAAGTTGAAGTCAATGATATCAAGAACTCGTTTGAGAGAGGTGTGTGTGGTAACAGAGTTCAGGTTTCTATATAGCTCTGAAAGTGCTGTCCCTGCTGAATAATAATGAATCTCTTATGTCTTCATTGGTCATGTGAGCTATGAAGTAAATTCATATGATTTAAGGACCTTGACTATAGTGTTTTTGGCAAAACATATTCTTGATGTTTATCTTGTTATTTATATAGATCCATTTAAATATTTCTTGCATGTAAAGAGAAGCTAAAGTTATTTACCTTAATTTCTAAGTTGTGTTTTCAGCAAATGCTGATGTTTTGTTTACCAGTATTAAAAATTATTTTGTGGGTGTGTTTAATTCTCTCATTTGTATGTTTTAGATAAAAAAAATAATGTAAATATAAACCGCAGATTTGATGCATAATATGTCTTTTAGGTAACGATCCTCTGACAGATGAAGAGAACAACCACGATATAAACTCTGTTGCGGGTGTTTTGAAACTCTACTTTCGAGGTTTGGAGAACCCTCTGTTTCCAAAGGAACGATTCAATGATCTAATCTCCTGTGTCAGTAAGTGGCTCTTTTTTTCTTTTTCTTTTTGCTTTCTATTGACCTGCATCTGTAAATCTGTCATTGATTCTCAGTGTGAATTAACAGTGCTTTGAACTGTTATCGTGTACACACAGATGAAGAGATCTTAGTCATTTGCCCCCAACAGTGGCACAGTGACTTTATTCACTGTATGACAAGACGTCCTGCGCCTCAGGCTAACGCTAACAGCCTTACGTACCCTCCATTACAGCGCAGTGTGTGTTCCACCACGGCATGACACATTAGAGCTTCAGTTGGTCCTTCAACTGGCATGAATGCAACGTTGTGTGTGTTTGAAAGAACTCAGAATGTGTGCTTTATCATCATCACAGATGACGCTAGATTGCACTGAATGAATGTAGAATGACACCGTGATGCCCAATCCTTTCATTTGGGTTAATGGGATGTTTGTTATCCACAGCTCGAATCAATTATGAGTGGGGTAAGCTGTGCCACTTTTGATACCAAGCTGTCCTCTTATCAAAGGAAAATATATGGGCGATGTGCATTTGAGTAATGAACAATTGATTTTTGTATTTAAATTATTTAATTAAAATATGTTTTAAACCAGATCAGTGCAATTTCCATTAAAAATACATTCAAAACCATTTTGTATGAGTTAATTCCACTGGCACAGTTTACCCTGAAGCATCTGACGAACTTTAGCCCACAGATACAATTTTGGGAAAAATCAATCATTTAATAATTCATGGATTAATATTTAGCTAAATAATTCAAATGGTTTTATGCTATTAGGATTTCCTTGCATACATAAGCATTTTTAAACCTGGATAAATTCACTTTGACATTTCCCTGCCATGTAGAAATATTATTTTGACATGCAAAAAAGTTTTAGCATAAAAATATCTTATAGCTTATACTTATAGCTATATATGACCCACCATTTTTAAATATTTGTTCTCATATCAAAATTTGTGAAAAGCTATAATAAGGTGCTGTGAGTTTGCATGTGTGGGTTGGGTGGGTTTTTGTTTGTCTGTACGTGTGGAGGAATGTCAAGGCGTGTGTTCATACATAGTCGACCAACAGCGGTCTTGTGCCTGTGACACTCCGTAGTGTGACTAATGGGGATTCCCTGCTGTTTACATTTACACACGACTTACCCCCTCCCAGCATACCACACACACCCTCGAACACACATGGCCTCTCCTGTTCTCTGTCCCTGGCAGATCTATATATAGACGTTTAGAGTTGTTCGTTCACTGCACTGTTGGAGATCAGTTCATGTTGTGTAGCTGGAGACATGTGCCTTGTCTGTCGTGAGGCTTGACAGTTCTTTAAATTGCTTCTTTTGCTCAGGATCCATGTTGGAAACCCTGTTTAGTCCTCAAGTACGGCAGATAACACGAGTAGTATATTCCCAAAAGCCCAGGTCTTTTCCCCTAATGGTGACGGGGTTATTTTAAGCTGCTGTCAGAGGATGAATCGGGGATCTGTGTGTGTGCTGAAGTAGCAATGGATGAGAGCAGATCACATCAGTTTTTAAATATGTTCTACAGAGGCCGGTTTTGCTTTTATAAGTGCTGCTTATGTGTCTCACAGCCACCACATGGGATCCGATGTGGTCAAGATGTAGTTGTTGATCTGAAGCTATGTTTGGAATGAGCTAGTGGCATATGGCATACTGTGCAGGATACACTTCTTTTTTTTTTTTTTTTTTTTATGGTATTTGCAACAGTATGCAAACATTTCAAATAATTGTATGCTGAAGTAATTGTTTAAATTGAGTCACATCTAGTGTCGACTTTTTAAAAACATATTTGGTTACACTTTAGATTAGGGTCCATTCCTCATTATTAACTAACTATTAACTACGACTTTTGCCTCAAACTCTTAATTCCTGCTTATTAATAGTTAGTAAGCTAGTTGTTACATTTAGGTATTGGGTAGGATTAGGAATGTAGAATAAGGTCATGCAGAATAAGGCATTAATATGTGCTTTATAAGTTCTAATAAACAGCCAACATCCTAGTAATATGCATGATAACAGGCAACATAATAAGATAATAAGTGGAATTGTTTTGGCAGTCAGAGCAAAAAGTAAAATTAGAAGGAGATCAGGAAAATGTTAAAAGATTACAGCTGATATTGCTTCTGGTTCAGTCATCATACTAGAAATGCATTGCATTGTGGGATAGTGTACTGTGTTGTATAGATTCCAACAGTTCCCGCCCTCTTTTTCAGTAGCCTTGATTCTCAATATTTTAAAATAGTCTCCATTTTAAGAGTTATAAGCCATGAACCAACCAACCAGCTACAAGGTGAATCGCAACATTATAAACTTTGATTTTGAAGCAAAAAAAGTATTTGAAAATCGGACAAAAAGATAAAGGTACAAGACTGTACACTTAACGGTTTTAATGAGAGTAAGAACTAATCCAATGAAGCATTGCAAATGATATAATAAAAATAAAAATGAATAAATATAAAACTCTTGATTGAAGATGTTTATTATGCATCGAGCAAACATATTTTGTTTATAGAAAAAACATGCATATACAATAATATAATTCCACTGTTACATGCAAGTATAAGTTGAAATGATGCGGTCTGATGGCTTCAACAAAAGCATATATCATCGATTTAACAACCTCATAGCTCACATAGGTCTGTCTTTTAAGGTCTGTAAGTTAAAAATCAATTCCCCTGGAGAAAATTAATGGTATTTTGACTGTTGCCTTCTGCACGTGTTTACTTGTAGTTATTTGCATATTTTGTGCATAACAGAAATTTGCATACTCTGCACAGTTGACATTCTGCATATAGCATAAATAGTATGTAGTTTGAAAAATTTAGTTTTGGTTAAAGCTAGGTACTAGAATGAGATTTCAAACACAGCCTGAGAGCGCATTACTAAGGAGACGGCAAAGATGCTTAAGGGAATTCCAGAAGGGACAGGAAGTGAGCTATAAAGACTCTAAGGAAAAAACCCAGTTGCTGCAGGAATACTCACACGTTTCTGCGATGCCAGTCTTCTGGATTAATCTTTAAGCTCCTTAAAATGAAGACTTAAATAGTTTTGAAACTTTACCTCCTTTAATGCTCTGTTAATCAGCTTTTTTTAGTTGCAGGGTGAGTTTAAATGAATCGCCTCATTTTTGTTTAATATTCGCTCTTCTTTGACAGAGCACTTGTTAAAACACTGAAGCAATGAGTGTGTGGCAGATACACTACCTGTATCTGTCATGTCCATGTCATGTTTTTCATGTTTTTAATCATTTATTTCAGCTTTTTTTTTTTCAATTACCAAAAAATATTTTTAATTTTAACAACAATGCAAATCGAAAATAAGGCATTTGTTTTGCAGTGATAGTTGGCTATTGGAAATGTCCGTTTGAAACATAAGATTGGCCAGTTTAACTTTGTGCGAATGAACACTGTTTAATGTTTTTTTCCGCCACGCATAATGAGCTCAGCCTTGTAACTCTATGAATAGAGCTGCAATGATGTGTTTATCTGTGAATTAGCATGTTCAGATGGAAGCATGTCATTAGATACTCAAGGCTGCTAAGTGGCGTGGATGACAAAGGCGACCCTGAATAATCATTTCTGAATGTCATGGCAGGACAAGCCATTTGTTCAGGACTCCTACGTTGTCTCTACTTGCAAAAACGTGAATGCAGTCTATGCAAATTTTGCGATTTTCATGTGTCATGTTCAACTTAATGAGGTGTGTAATAATTTATGTATGTATGTTTAGAGAGAGAGAGAGAGAGAGAGAGAGAGACTATTGGTGAGTGGTAGGATGAGAAGATGTTGTTTTGAATTATTTATTAATAACTGTCTGGGCAATTGCTTCTAGGTTTGTGAAGGAAGTGTTAGTACGTGTATACTGAAAGTTTAGGCGTTTTAGTAGTTTTTAAAATTTCTCTTTCTGAATTCTGATAATGTATGTCAGATTTTCTTTTCTTTCAAACATTATATATAAATAGATAATTGTGTTGCTCTTTGATTTTTGCTTGATTTCTTGATTTTTACTCTTATTCTCTCTCTTTCTCTTGTAGGAATTGAGAATCTGTATGAGAGAGCGCTGTATATTCGCAAGATCCTTCTGACTTCACCCAGATCAGTGCTCGTTGTCATGCGATATCTGTTCGCCTTCCTCAACCAGTAAGTCTGAATGTCTCACACAAACACACAGTAAGTTTTAAACATGCAAATAACATGCATGCGTCTGAAATAAGTGTTGATGATATAATACTCTACTTGATTGTAAATGAATATCACTTTTTGATCCAAAATCATTCCTAGATCCATATCATAGAAATTCTCAGACCAGACTCGAACTTGACTATCTGATTAAGAGCCAAACCAGAACCATCTTGCTTTTTTTGCTAGTTGCCTAATAGCTTGTTCGTATTCCCTGCAGCTTGTCCCAGTACAGTGATGAAAACATGATGGACCCCTATAATCTGGCCATCTGCTTTGGCCCCACCCTCATGCCCACTCCAGAAACTCAGGACCAGGTCTCCTGCCAGGCCCATGTCAATGAGGTCATCAAAACCATCATCATCCACCACGAGACCATCTTTCCTGATTCAAAGGAGCTTGACGGCCCCCTGTATGAGAAGTGTATGGCAGGCGGAGATTATTGGTGAGTGGTGCGATGAGATGGTGATGCTGTTTTTAATAATTTATTGATAACTATCTGGGTAACTGCGTCTAGGTAGGTGTTTGTAAGATAGATGTTCAGGCGTTGCTCAACCTGAGAGATGAGAATCTTGTTAAAGTCAGTATTTGTGCTTGTGTTTGAATATTTCATTTTTCTGTACTATTTTAGTGGTGGTATCCGGACATTTATGGCGTGACAGTGAAAAAGTTTGTTTTAATAAAATAAAAAGTTTCAGTGCTATAGTGAGTCACTTAATTTGTTAGCACAGTTTTAGGGTGTGACCGCTTTGTTTTGAAGAGCAGGTCTTGTTGATCCAGGAAAGGAGGATAAATCCTTACAAAAGATTTGGAAGAAGGTAATACAGGTTAAAAAAAAGAGTCATACAGGTTTGGAATGACATAAGGGTGAATTTCAATAAATTTCTGGAGGTGAATTATCCCTTTAAAGAAACTTTTTTTCTTTTCTTTTTTTGTGGATTATGTGTGATGGTTATTTTCTTTCAAACTGTGAATCAGCAGAAATTTGTGTTATAAAATGGCCTCGTATTTCTCATTCTTTCTCTGTGAGGATATACCAGGCCCTAGGCCAAAAGTTTGTATTCAAAATGCACTTAATATCACAGGTATGTGTGCCTGGATCTAAAGAGTGACGGGACCAGCTGCATCTAAGCTGTGTTTGGATTCAGTGTGGGTAATTATTTGAAATGATGTCGTGCAGATATTGTGAACTCTTTAGTCGAGGTAGGACATTTTTTAGAGGCCGAAGGGTTTGGAGACCTTTAACTAGATGAGACAGAATGAAACCATCTTGATAATTGCAGCCATCAAGGTAAGAAAAGATTGCCGGCCAAACCAACGCTCATTTCTCTCCGAAATACCCATGGATGAGAAGAGGAAAGAGACATTTTCCGCCAACTCCACAGCTGTGTGTATGTGTTGGCTAGTGATTTTGTTGTCTCAAAGAGAGCGGCCCAACTCCCACAAGTCTTCATCCCCCAAACTGAAGCAAATCACCTGCCACTGCAAGAATCTGTACTTGAGCACTTCAAATAATTACATCCTTAAACTCGCCGAAGCCGGTTCTCGTATTTTCCCCTTTGGTAGTGTGACAGAATCCCAATCACCCTGCCCAACTCCTCCTGAATACTAATGACAGCCTCTGTAGTTTTTGCTCAATGGTGAGTTTTACTCTGGCTGTGACTTAACTCTTTGTCTCCCTGTGCATGCATTTACTTATGTAAGGAAGTATACATACACTACCGTTCAAAGGTTTGGGGTCGTTAAAATTTTTTACAATGTTTTTGAAAGTTCTTATGCTTACCAAGGCTGCATTTAAAAATACAATGAAAACATTAATATTGTGAAATATTATTACTATATAAAATAACTGTTTTCTAAAATGTAATTTATTCCTGTGATGGCAAAGCTGAATCTTCAGCAATGTTACTCCAGTCTTCAGTGTCACATGATCCTTCAGAAATCATTCTAATAGGCTGATTTGGTGCTCAAAAAGCTTTTCTTATTATTATCAATGTTGAAAACACCAAGAAATGTCACTACATCATTTTCAAAACTATATATGTAAAGTGCATTCAGTTTAATGCACAGCTAGCTGTGGATTATCCCACCCATTTGCCAGCATTGACATTTTAAAGCTGTCATTGAAGTTTGCAGTGCAATATTTGACTGGAAGGGTAAAAATGACGGTTATTTTAGTAAGTTACTGCTTGTTAGATCTAGCATTCTGGCTGCTTTGAATCAGACACAGATCAAGTAGTGTGGTAAGATTACGTTTATTTGACTTGAATGAATTATAGCATTTATTTGAATTAATTATCGAGAGAGAGAGAAGGAAGGAGGGAGGGAGAGAGAGATGAATGTGGCAATGAAACTGTGTTTAGTTATTTCAAAAACAGCGCCAAAATTTTGTTATTCTGTCCTTAAATATTGAGTTTATAGATGCTGTAAATGCCACAATCTAAGTATTTAAAAATATAATTTTCATATAACCTATATTTAATTATTCGTCTTGATTTATTTCCTCTTTTTTCTGCAGTGAAAGTCCATACAGTGAACATGGAGCTCTTGAGGAGGTTGATCATGATGGAGGAATTGAGACCCACACCAGTGAGGATGGTATGTTTATTTTGTTTACCACACCCTGTAGTGGTATGTACAGCAATAGCGTAGCCACAAGGGGCCTTCAAATAAAAAATAAAGTAAAATGAGGTGTATATTACTAACGTTAACTGGTAATGGTAAAACACATGCGTTATTTGAATTCAAATTAAATCGTATGTGCAAGTAAAAACCTGTTACATGATTTATGTATAACGAGTGGTTCCATACTTGTCATTATTCCCATTGTCTCAGAATGGCTTCAGCCAATGTCCATCAAGCCTCTGGATTGATTTTACTTCATGACTTTTTCTGGCATGGCCTGTCAAGGGTTAATCCCTGTGTGCACTGACCTCTGGGTAATCACTTTTCACAGCTCTAAATTAACTGATTAGAGAGTGGAGAACTACGTCCAACTATTTGGTCCTTCTTTTTGTTTTCTAATCCTTTGGGAAGGGAGAAGCATCCGTAAACAAAGAAGGGGGTTTTAATCAAGCTTGATAAATGCTTTCCAATACTGCAGGGCACAATAGATCAGTCTATCACGACTGTAAGGCTACTTTCATTAAAAAAACATGTAAAGTCCTTACCAGTCTGGCTCAAACTTGAGTTCTGTATGTAGTTGCATGTAGTTTTATTATAGAAAAAGTTCTCTAGAAGTTCCCAAAGCTCAACTGATACCAGATGCTTGGCCCATTGATGACACATGATCAATTCCCATATGTAATCTGAGAAACAAACTCCAAGTTTCAGACTGAAAACTCCAATCAAGTGGTTTGTTTTTGTCTTCTGTCCAGTATTTCAAAAGAACCGAAAGGAAAATGTTGCTGCTGACCTGTATGTTACCTTACTGAAAATAGACACATTTCCTGTCTCTCTCTCTGTCTGTACCTGAACAATGCTTGTTTTCTTGTGCGTTCTTTGGTAAGAGAAGTGGGATGTCTGCTTTTTCCAGATCTATGATTTCTAGGACAGACAAAAGCCACGTTTATCGTATTGTTTAGCGTCTAAGGGCCTTAAGCAGAGAGTCAGATAAATGGTAGTACTGTACCATAACACCAAATACACATTAATTTTGTTAGATTGCTTTGAAGTCTACCTTTATTTTTGGATCATAAAAACAAATGGGAGTAAACTCTCCCTGTATGTACTCAAATGGGATTTAATTATTTGGATAAGGCAAAAGTATTATAGTGTTATTCTTAAAATTAGGGATTTAAACAAACCCCTAACCATAAATATTAAACATTAAACTAAGGCTATGTTCAGACTGCAGGTAAATGTGGCCCAATTCTGATTTTGTTGCTCATGTGACTCAGTGTGAACAGCACAAACCACATGGAATCAAATCTTTTCAATTCCGATTTGTGCCACTTCCATATGTGGTTCTAAATCTGATACAGGTCAGATGTTTTGCAATACGACTTCAGTCTGAACAGTCATATCGGAATTCATAAGACTTTAACATCACTCTAAAGCAGTATTCGCCACCATTCTGTGTTCATGGGAGTGACTTCAAAGATTTTACATACCCAAAATTATCAAGACCATCGCGAAAGGTGTCAGTGGAAAGACAGTTATGTGTTAGAACTTAAATATTACATTGACAAATATACAAGCAAAACATGTGGGCTCGTATCATAAATGATCTTTACACACTGGAATCTGATATTGGTCACATTTAAAACAATAATGTGAACAGCTATACAAAAAAAAACGTATCTAAGCAATAAATCGGAATTGAGCTCTAAGGCTCGCAGTGTGAATGTAGCCTAAGACGCATAATTTGTCCTTAACCGTTTGTGCTACAAACATGAAAGATACTTTAAATCATGGGGCTTGAATAGACAATGTATTCTATTACTTTTGTAAGAGTTTAAACTTGAGATTTGTGATAAAACTGACAAAAAGACTTATATTGCAGGAGAAACCCCTAATACCTGCATAAAACACCCACCTACAAAACCACAGCCACACACACGTTTTTGTCACGTATAACCTGCCTCACTTGACAAGTGTTTATATGAACCGAGACTCGTGTCCAACTCTGCCGCCATCATTCGTCCAATCTCTAAACTGAGCCGAACAGACAGATCTCATATCCACCCGAGTATAAACAGAACCCATAACTGAATAATGTTCAGTTCTTTTCAGATTGAATTTATTGAAGGATATTACACAAAATTGTGTAATTTATTTTCCTAAATCACTATTGGACATCTAGACATGGGCATCTACATGCTGAAGATTAGTTTCGACTGTTCCCATCTCACTGTCTGTTTAAATTTCATGAATCTGTCACATTGAACTGAGAAACCTGATACTTCACGTATGTCAGGGTTTCCATTAACTAACGCAGATGTCGGATATCAATGTCAGGCCAAATCATAACTGACCTGAAGATTGTAAAATTGCTCTCAGCTTCCACGGTTTTGCTCCAAATGTTTTCCTGATGAATGTATTGAGGACGAGGAGGTTCTTCCGAGTAGAGGAATTGTTATTCTCCTTTTTTTGGACTACGAATATTGCTTATGTCCGATCTCAATTATGGGTAGCTTGTGTGTTTTGTCTTGTTTCATAATAAGCGATTTGGGTTATGTTATCCTTCTAAATCTTCTCTCGAAAAAGCCTTTTTCATGGGAGTTTGTCAGCTGGCATTATTATAGAGACCATCCTGAGGAACCGATGCCTAGACTGTTAGAGTATAACTATATCAGCCCGCTCAAACTTGTGACCAGTCGAGCATCTGTCCTCAATCACTGCATCTAAAGGGGGTCGTCTGGTCTCAGGGCCCGTCTGGAAAACCACTTTATCGAGTGATGGGACCCCTGCTATGCCTTTAGAGCCATTTATTCATTCAAGTGAACTGGAATAAGCAGACATAATGCACTCTTGGGAAGAAAAAGACAAATCTCAGCATCTGTGAGAAACCGGTGTTGAATGAGAAGATTGGGCGTTTTGGAAATGTTGGTTTGTGTGATATATCTGATATATCTAAAAGTCAACATTGATTAAAAAATGACTCATAATAATAAAAATAATAAAACACTTAAATTTGATGGTCCACTTTAAACATTCAATTACATATAAGTACTGTAACTTTGCCACTACATGTCATTTAACTCTCATTTAGGGTATTAGTAGACGGTCTGCTTAATATCGGCTAACACTTTATTTTGATGCTCCCCAACACACATTCTACTGACTATAAGTAACTTTTGCAACTACATGTCAACTTACTCTACTAACCCGAACCCTAACCTAACAGTCTACTAATACTCTAATGAGAGTTGCAAAGTTAGTAAATCTGTAAGTAACTTTTAGTTTGTAGAATGTCTAAAGTGGACCATTGAAATAAAGTATAACCTATACATATTATACACACACACACAATAAGAAATCTATATACATATACACATTATATTATTGTTGTTCAAATGTTTGGGGTCTGTAAGATATTTTATAAAGAAGAAATGTATAATTTTATTCAGCAAGGGTGCATTTAATTGCTCAAAAGTGTCAGTAAAGACATTTATAATGTTACTAAAGATTTATATTTCAAATAAATACTGTTCTTTAGAACTTTATATTCATCAAATAATCTTGTATCAAGTTTTTCACAAAAATATTATGCAGCACAACGGTTTTCAACATTGATGATAAGAAATGTTTCTTGAGCACCAAATCATCTAATTACATATTTTTTGAAGGATCATGTGACACTATATATGTGATAATAAATTACATAAAACTGAGATGGACCTGAGATGGGTCTCTCTGTAGGCAAGGGCGTGGTTAGCTGGTGCCTGCTTACATCACAGGGCACCACAACTTCCAATAGGAAAATTCAACTGCAGTAGCCACCGTTCAACCTGAAGAGGGCAGCACTGTAATATTTTTACACCATATATTGTTAAAACACTTTATAGTTTATACCCAAATGTAAAAAAAAATTAGCTTGAATAAAACAGCATTAATAAAGCCCCAGTCTTACATATCATTAACTAAAAAAAGTTGTTTTAAGGTTTAGTTACCCTTTAAAATGCCAGTTTTTTATGTGAAAACCCTTTAAACATTTCGTCGTTGTTACAAGACAACATTTCTTAGCCGGTGATGTTGCAGTGAGCTCATTTTCTCTTCTAAATTGCAGTACCCGTGCAGTCTGCAAGCATGCCTCCACTAAAAAACACAGGAAATGCAGCTTACAAACAGTTTTCTAGTCTGTCAGCCTTTATTCCTCCTGGGTCTGCTTGCAGCCGCGAGTGCTGGTGGGTAAGTTACTGCTTGAGCAGTGTATATTAAGCCAGAAAACCTAGCATGGGTTGTTAACTCTCCTCTGGGACAAAAACAAGCCCATATGGTACAATGTGCAATGAACTACGGTAGAGCAAGCGGCTGCAGGAACAATGTCTGTGAATAAAAATAGTACCATAACAAAAGAGTTACAGCTTCTTTAATACAGACTACCAGAATTAATTAAAAGTTCCAAAGTGCCTTTGTGTAATTTAGTGAGTGGGGTTTTGGACACGGGTAAACAAATGAATTAGTCGAATATATGGATTTGCTTTCTTTAATAATCTTGGTAACTTTCCTACTGTCTGCCGCCCGTCTTCACAAACACTGTCCTAGCAGCACTATGATACATGAACAGGCTATTGCAAGGACACTCTGAATCTGTCAGGCAGAGATGGAGGAGAGACAGGGACGTGTGGACAGTTGATGGCCATATTGATCTCCACCCCGTCCTCTTTATTAACAAGGTGCCTGCTCTCAGAGCTGCCCTATTCATTCACACAGTCAACTCACGCCCGTCACGTCTTATTGACTCATTGTCATTTCCAGACTGTCGAGAATGAAAAAGCATTTCCTCTTTTAGCTCGTGCCTCTCCGGTTTTATATTGCTTTTACGGTCTTCCCTAGATTAATTGTGTATTCTATTTGTCTGATTTGTTATTGTTTTCACTCATTTTTCTGTCTTTATTTATTGCAATGGCAACGCTTGTGCCTCTCTCCAGAGTTTTCTTTTTGGAATATTACTGTAGCAAGTATTACTACATTTTTAACAACAGTTTTGACAGTTTTGATGCTTGACTTTGATGCAAAATGCAGTGAACACAATATGCACTTAGTTACATACAATACAAATTGATTTACCAGGTTTACTTTTTAATGAGACTTTTGTTTTCACAAAAAAGTACCATTTATGGACATGGTAAAATGGTAATACTATGATGGATTACACCATGAAGGTAAACCATAGTTTTTTTTTTTTTATATAAATATATATTGGACTAACATGTAAATACCACTGTACAAGAATATGGCCTTCCTCATTCAGTATTACAGTTTATATCCAGTTATAAAATGCACAAGTGCATGGATGCTGATTGGTCATTTTGCTTAATAGAAATATTATGGACAATTTTTTTAATTAAATTATTTACATTTTTGTTTTTTCAAAAAAAAAAAAATATATATACATATATATATTATTTAATTATTAAAATTGATATAAACCATTTTTAAAATATAAAAAGCTTCTTTTTCTTTTTCTTATTTTACAACTCGTTCCCCTTTAACTGTGACTTAATACATAATTTAGCATGATCTCTTGTACCTTGCTCAAGCACCATGGTATCACCATCACTGCACCACAGTGCTGTTTTGTATAAGTTGTTGCACTCATTTGGCAGGTGTTGTGATGATGTTGATAAGGTCCACATTGCCTGATTGTCCTGAGGATGAGAACAGCCCGTTCTGCCAGAACTGCAGCTACTTCACATCCATTGAAGCCTGCTGTGTCTCTTACGTAAAGGGAGTCATGGGGGCAAAGGCATGTACAGCAACTAGTCAGAAACCCTATAACGTTGATGCATTCAAATGCTCTCATTCACATGTTAACGAACAGTCAGATATTGTTGAGGCATGTGCACTGTTTTCATTCGACTTATTTCTGTAAATAGCACCAACTGCCATTCAAACGGCTCCATATTCTTTCCCTTTAGGCATTTCATGTAGCATATGCCAAAAGTGTAGAAACGGGTGATGCTGCCCATGCGGAAGAGCTAATTGATCACACAGAAGTTATGATTGGAAATTCTCCAATGGAAAACCTACTGCTGATGATGTCACTGACATCTATTTCCTCTCTCCTAACTTAACTGAATTAACCATGCTGTGCCTTTTTTCCTCTACAGAGGGGGAGCCCATTGAAGCCATCGCAAAATTTGATTATGTGGGGCGCTCTGCACGGGAGCTGTCCTTTAAGAAGGGTGCGTCTCTGCTGCTGTACCAGAGAGCGTCGGATGACTGGTGGGAGGGCCGACACAATGGCATAGACGGCCTAGTGCCTCACCAGTACATTGTTGTGCAGGATATGTGAGTATCTCTTCTGTTCTACTGTGATAAAACAACTCCACTGTCTATAATTATCCATATTTCAAGGATAGTTGGATGTAAAATATAAATAATAAAAGTTCTTCAACAGAGTTTGATGTTGCAATGTTGCTAACAGCATGATAATCTAAAATCTTAAAAATACATAGCACATACATATTTTGCAGATGTAACTATTTTTGGAGTGTGAGTCTATTCAGTCCTTTCAGCATTAGATAAGTATAATTTGAATCAATAATAATTTCAATTCAGATTGCAATTTTATTGGTCACACACACAACCATACACAGTAAAATGCGCCATGAAATGCGTTTTGCGACTCTATACATTGGATAAAATCAACCAAATATAACATAAATTTGAAATAAAATCTAGTTTTGTTTGTAGAAATGTAAATTTTTTTAGAAAATCTAATAATAATAAAAACAAGGATAAGAGAAAATGTGTAATGGGAAAAGTTGTAGTTTTATATTATATATCGTTTAATATGATATATTAGGGCTGTGAATAGAATAAAAACATTTGTGCACTAATTATTGCACAAATTTTCATGATTAATCACATATCAATGAATAATAACATAATCATGTTAAAATTTGTAATCACAAATACATTTACATATAATTGTACAATCAACAAAGTATTTTAAATAATATATTTTAAAATATTTTATATTAATAATAATATTTTAAATAAAATAGTTTAATGGAATAAATTAATTTATTGCATCAAACATTTCATATTGATATCCAAAATTAACGTTATTTTCCCCAGCCCTTGTTTGTATAGCGTAATATTATTATTTTTTTTGTCCACAACTTTTTTTTTAATGCATTTTGGGATTACCTTCTCCTCAAGAGTTAGACTTCTGTTCAAAGACTTATTTTCAGAGTAGGTACTGCATTTGATGAAAAACTTGCTTCTCAACCATTAATAAAATGTTATACTATATATATTTCAATCTGGACATACTGTATTCATACTATGTTAGGGAAGTAGGCATAGGGGATACAGACTTAGAAGGCAGCTGCCTACTTGGAAAGGATTGTACCAATGTTGCCTTAAAATGCTGTCTAGATAGGCACCTCATTAGATTTTGAACATAAATGAGCCACATCTGAGTTTATAGCTGCACTCTGCTCTGGACCATCTTCCTCGGGTAAATCTCTTTATTGTCATGACAACTTGTTCTGCCTGGGCAACTATTGGCGCCTTGTTGAACAGATTATGGCTCATAAAGGGGGCAAATCTAATGGATCGGGCACAGTGCTGAGTGACGCCAACAACAGAGCCCATACCAGCCGACTGTGTGTGTGTATCAATAATTCACATCATGACCCTCTGTTGATGTGTGTTCTTGGCTCGTGGCACTGAGAGAATTTACAGCCTGGTGGAACGAGGGAGTTTAAGAGGCCCTAGACCAGCAGAGTCAGTCCCTCAGTCCAATAAAAGAGCAAAGAGTGTAAGGATGTCAGTTGGGCAGTTCATACACACATCAGCACAGTAGCACGCGTACAATGGAGAGCATTCACATCTTAGCTTATAGAAATGTCTGTTTGGTGCTCAAAAACATGTGACCTAATGTACTGTCCAATAAGCCGCATCAACAGCTGTGATTTTACACGGGACTTTTAGAGCTTTACATGCCTCGTGTCAGGGCTTTAACGCACCACTCAACACAAGCATCACGTATCGCTTGACCTTCACATGAAAGTGTTGAAAAAGGGCAATGTTACAAGATTGCAAGTTAGCATGGAAGCATTGTAAACAGGATAAATAGTGAAAGCAAATGAAATAGTCATGTTTTACCTTGCAGCAGAAAAAATGTCCTTGCGATTAATTGTTTTAAATGTTGCCGAAGCATCTGTGGCATTTTGATAGGGTTGTGACAAACGAAGAAGAAACCAAAAATGTTTGAACTTTAAAGTGTCACGTTCAATTATGGATGCACAGTAAGTCGAAATATAACCAATTTGCTATATGGCTTTCTGCAATTTAAATAATGCAGTTCTTTTACAGAGTGAAATCTTTTATCACATCTTTTATGTGTATCAGTTAACAGTAAATGCATATTCTACTACTATTAATAATAATAATAATTATTATTATTAGTATTATTTTATAGTCCTATTGATATATAATCACAATATTGGGCTAAATTGCGCAGCCCTACAAACAAGCAGAGCAAACCTTGCTGCTATATTTATTTATTTATTTATTTATTTATTTAGAAAATCGCATTATTTTGCGGCCTACATTAAGTGTATTGGGCAATATTGAGTGCAGAGCTCTTTAGGATGAGCTCAGTGATACAAGCCAATGAGTAAATGTGTTTTGTTGGTATTTGGAGCTCATTTTGTTGTCTGACGTGAAATAGTTTGAGCTTAACCCCTAAATGCATGAATGTTTTGCCAATCATTATTACATATTGGGGTCTTTAGCGACCCGGATCTAAATCTAACACGAATGGATCTCTACCTGTCGCAATAATATGAAACCCTCCTGATATTAGAGTAACAATTACAGAAGAATAAAATAAAGCATTTATTGTTACCTTTTGGAGCTTAGAAGGGTTCAGTTTGAGCAGATGTTTTATACCATCATCACTGTCCTCATCAGAGCTCATTTCCCACTACATTCAGCATCTGGCTCATATTCACGATCTCGAACATATTCTCCAAACTATCATTTTAAACATCTTTAAAATCAAAATTCTGATCGCTGACAGCTGCTTCAACAGATGCATCAAGTGAAAGTGACTCTAATATTTGAATGCGTTCAGGACACTTGAGCCATTTTAAGTTTTGCTGATGATACTTCCTATTCTTTTGTTTTCTGCCTGCGGTAACTATGAGTGAAACGTCACTTCATCATTGTGTATCAGACATGACCACCTTGTGGAATTATTGTTGTGCAGTAAAAATATACTTACACTGTCACACAACTCAAATTGTACAGGGTCGCTAACAACCTTTACAAACAACGAATGGGAAAATAGGCATTCTTTTATAATTGTATTATTTTCTTGTTATATTGTTTATAATGAATTGATTGAGGAAAACTAAGATGGTTGTAAAAAATCTCTAACTTTAAAAAATAAATGAGGAGGGTGTTAGTGAACGATGTCCCGGGACACTCAAGACCCGAGGTTTAAATATTAAACTATGCTGCTAAATGCTTGTGAATATGTTTTTTTTTTTTTTTACTGCTTGTGTGCTGTTTTGACAGGGATGACACATTCTCTGACACACTCAGTCAGAAGGCAGACAGCGAGGCCAGCAGTGGACACGGAGGAGAGGAGAAATGCTCCACTAGAGACATTGGATCTCCAACAGACAGCAGAATACCTGATGCCTACATCAGCAGGTGAGTGAACGAAAACTTCCCAGAATTCCCCTTGCTTCAAGACATTGAGTGTATTCAATAAAAGGCAACAGCACTTTAAAAAGTGATCAGATGACTTAACTTAAAGAAAAGTCTGGAAACCCGGTGCCTTAAAATTATTAAGTAATAAACTTAATGCGTAATTGAAAAAAGTTGATTACGCATCAAAAATTACGCATGAAGTTTATTTACTTAATAGTTTTAAGACAACGGGTTTCCTCACTTTTTTTAAGTTAAGTCAAATGATCCGTTTTTACAGTAAGCCAATTAAATGACAAACATCAAACAATCAAATACTCCTTAAGTAACGAGAACGAAGAAAGAAATGCCCAGAAGTTCCAGTGTGGGTTTTTTTTTTCAGTTCAGTTTTTTATTCTGTTGATTTGTCTTGTATTCATTTGCTCTCTCCCCACTTTCATTTGCTCTATCCCTCTGTGTCGTGCTGCTATGTTTCCTGCCTCTTAAATCTTTCAGTGCATTTGTCTTTATTTAGATGTTCTCCTCCTTTCATAAGTGCATTTATCAAACATACTGAGGATAGCTTCCTCTGCAACTGTAAACCCAATGACATTATGGCAATCAATCAATTATAAAGTGTTGATCTCCAACGAGAAATATTCTTTTTGATGTGTCAGCGCTATTCCTAGCAGAGGAGGCGGGTGCTCAAACAAATTAACTCGGTATTTATTTACATCCAGTTTGCCAGAAATCTGGAAAAGCGTTGAATGTTAGTGTACTGCAATGTGATAACAGACCCATGCAGCTGACATCTGCGTCGTAGAAATGAAAGTACTCTGATACTTAAATGTTAAATGGCATTCAATATGAATTTGAATAATTTCTAGTCGTTCTAAAGCAGTATTAGATGGCTAATAAAAACCAGCAGTTCATTTCTGTGTTTTCATGACTTGACTCTCTTTGGATACTCTTTGATTTCATGCAGCAGTGCTCCATTGCGTCGCCCATTGTTTTAGTGCAGTGCAGGTCGCACTCTGCTGGACAAATACCTCTACTGACGCTTTAGATAAAACAGAATACAAAATTAATTCAGTTCTTCTTAATATGGTCATTTTTAGCTGCACAGTTAAGTCATTTATGAACTCGCAGATTAGCATCTCATTACTGATACTGATTACCATATATCACAGACTGTCAAAACGATTCTATGAACATTACGAGAGCTCATTACGTCAACAGTTGTGCTAGAAAATAGTCAATTTTAGTAATTGAAATAATTTATGGTTGTTTCAACTATGCACACTTTCGTCCTTAATACACACTTCACACTTACTAGTGGATATGCTTGTATTACAGGACAATAATTCTTTTTTCCCCCTCAACTGTCATTTCCACCAGTGTTATTTGTGTACTATTATAGCATTTATTCATATTTTGATTTAGCTTTTTTTTATATTTTCAGTTTAATCTTAGTTTTTGTAATTTTGTTATGTCCTTTTTGTCATTACTTTTGTTTGTGTTCATATTATTAATTGGCTTTCATTTATTTGTATTTTATTTGAGTTATTTTAGTACTTTAACTCAAAGATATTTATTTCAGTAACGTTTCTATCTTAAGTTAAACTCTTACATATACATATATTTACTTACATATATTTAAATTTTATTTTAGCTTTATTTCAGTTACCAAAACAATTTTGTAACACTTTCCACCACATCTTCCATGTCTAAACGCATCTGTGTTTTCAACGTTTTTGGAAGATTCTTTAGTCTTGCTAAAGAACGAAGTAAGCATATTGTGTGCTCTAAATAAGCCAAATTAACTAATAATTATTTCACAGTAGTTTCATGCTTGATTGGAAATGACACATTACATTAATGAAATTTTTGCCAGTATAATTATCAAATTTTCTTTGCTTTCTTTCTCTTAATCTCTTCATTGACAGAGTTGTCTCCTTGATAAACACTAATATTAACTTTTGAAAAAGTTAAAAACTGGAAAAACTGTTGATATGGGAACCAAAGGAAGTTTGTAAAGCCAAAATATCAATATTTTAATCCTGACACCAGGCATCTTCTCTGAGAAGCGCTTTTAGTTAATACTGTAAGATCCACAGACATCATACATCATTATGACTTCTGCCAAGCTGGTTTCTGCCAGGCCTCTTGTCATGAATATGCAGAGTAAGTCTTACCACAGATACTCTGGAGATGCCTCTGACACTGATGCTAATTATGCATGAGCGCTGAAGGTTAGCGAACACTTGCAACAAATGCAGCATATGATAACTGCCTACGCGTTCAAACCATGTCCACCACTAAACATTAAAGGGGTCCTATTATGCTTTTTTACATTTTCAACTTTCTTGAGTATGTAATGTTGCTGTTTGATGCTGAAAAAGGTCTGCAAAGTTATAAAGCACAAAGTCTACTCCAAAGGAACTTATTTTCTGTATTAGTACAGGGTTTTTCCTGGGTCAAAATGGCCTTCGGTGGTGGTGGATAACAGGAACTTTTATGACATATCATAAAACAAAGTACTTAGAACTATTTTGTATTTAAAAATCTGTAAATTTATGTGTAAGAAGTGACTGATTTGAAAAGTTAGTAATAAAATATACAACAAAGTAACGCAGGCATTACACATAACAGATCATGCATAGATCATTTGACATACAATATCAGATTGTTTTGTTCTGTCCTGTGCTATAGTTATCATTGTCAATCGGATCCACTTGTGTATTTAAATACGGTTGTCAATCCAGAAAATTTGCCATGTGTAGTTAGCAACATGAAAAATATATATTATGTACAGAAAGCGAGCAAAGATCGCTGCCATTGTAATCTCTGAAGCTGTCAATTACTTCAGTTCAACGTGAGGTACACAAAGCTGCACACTTGTGAAAAGTCCCGTTATAATCAATGAAGCTGTCCTACTCTGTGCAATGAATCTCGTATTGACATCGTATTTATACTGATTATAATGAAAGCGCCGCCATTTTGAGCAGTATTGAGCGTGTTAAGCGAGCTCGCTAAGGCGATACTAAAATGTGACGTGAAAACAATGCCGACTGCTGATTGGTCACAGAGAATCTGCGTCATCATTGCACGCGCCAGATGGAGTATCCAGAATAACCCCGCCATTTTTAAATAGTTTGGCCAGAGATAGTTACTAAACTTACTACTATTATTATGGCAACTCGGAAGAATACGCCGTGGTCAAACGAGGAGGTGCAGACATTCCTTTGTTTGGTTGCCAAAGAGAGGATCCAGCGAGAGCTTGATGGGACAACGAGGAAGAAAGGCGTCGCTATGACGACCGGGTACTATTTGTGGCGGTACTTTCTGCAATGGAAAACGGAGCGAAAAGCGAGCCGAGGCGAGCCAAAGCGAGCCGAGTCGAGTCGAGCTGGTACTGGTAATGGAAAAGCGCCATAATACACATCTGACTGGCCATTGCGTTCATGCACTCAACAGATACGTCTCTGGCTGTAAAGCTCAACGCTGCAAAAACACGTTGTTAATAGAAACTTTTGACGCTCTTCACAGAGTGCTTACACAAACACTCACAAGAGCATTTTAAAGCAGCCGGCTATCACCGGGTACCAGTACTGCAGAACAGCAGGTATAGTCACATTAAATGATCAGATAAATCTTTGGCAGGTCAAAGTCTATTCAAAGAATATTTTCAATGCAGGGGAAAACCATGCAGTAAGAACTGTGTCTGAACTAAACAGTGTGTTACAGACAGACTGGGAAGAGAGGTGCTGCAATGATATCAAATATGTGGGGACATTTTGCTAGACTTTTTAAAAGAGCATAGTAGGTCCCCTTTTAAGCTAAAAGGCCATCTTGGTATGGAAACCGATTTATTACACACTTTAATGTTATCTTTCCTTTCATTTTGTTTAGCAGGCACAGGAAGAGAAGTGACCCTCCTTCCCGTAGGCCACCAGCTCGCCCCACTGACGCCCACTGCATGCTCCACCCATCTCAGGGCCACCACGGTAACCATAGCAGCCATGGTAGTCACGGCACCCCAGATTTGGGATCCCCGGCGATGGGCCACTACAGTCCGCGGGATCTGCTGAGAGGAAGGGGACACATGCCCATGGACAGCCCAGAGAGACGCAGACGAACCGGCCACGGCAGCCTGACCAACATCAGTCGGCACGAGTCCATAAAAAAGATGGAGAGCCCTCCCATCCGAAGGTCCACGTCTTCAGGCCAGTACAAGAGCTTGGATCCAGAGAGCATCGCACAGGTCAGCGGGAGGCGAGCGACGACGCCCCTCACACCATGCGCAGCAGGCCCAGCCCTGTAACATAGTCAGTTACTGCCTCCTGTTACTAATGACTAATGCATATCTGCAACACACATTCACACACTCACATACTGGGCCTCATTTATGAAGCAGAAGCAGAGAAAAAAATCCAATTTAAATGTGCTGTGAGCCAATGCTTCTCAATCATTTTTGCCCTGTTTACACCTGTTATTAAAATGCGTTTTTGGTCAATCGGATCACAAGTGAAAAACTCTAAATGCAGGTGTAAACGGGGTCTAAAATGTTTTGAGCTTGTCCATTTTCGACCACTTCTACAGGTAGTCGAAAACCCATTCGACCGGATTGTTTTCATTGTGTAAACACTTATGTGGTCGAATGCGTTCGAACAGCCACAAAAGACCGCCTACTGGCTTAATGCGTAAATATTGTGGGAAGAGCAATAGACAGATGGGATTTTTGGGATGACAGGGACTTTTTGTTTGAAAGACTATTCCTGATTTCTTGTGTCTATCCGAGCAGAAACGAAAGCTGCTGCTCTCCGTATGTTTTCTGGTCGTGTTCATTTGTAATATTTCGCTTATTTCGTCCATTTAATCGAAAGCTCATACCTTTACCTGCCCATAGACCCTCCCCTCAAAGAAATAAAAGAGACAAAAGAGACGGATTAAAACACCAATGTATCTCCCTCGTCTACTTGTGATCCGATCGACTAAAACGTATTTCAATACGTGTAAACAGGTCTTTTGACTCCCCCATTGGAGGCTGAACATCTAGGCTAATACTGTATATTTCCTTGTTTGTTAATACACTTTATTTACAGAATCTTGGTGTCAGTAGGTTAAAATAACTTGCCACAATTCACCTATTGTGATGTTTGATAAACTGAATGTTCTTTAGGCTTCTCACTCTTTTTGACACATGATTTTTACAAATATTTTTGCTGACAAAGATCAATTTCTACCCAGTAAAATGATTTGGATATTTTTATGAATTATAGAAATGTCCATGACTTTATATTTTAGTATTATTTAAAATTTAGAAATTTAATCATCATTTTAAATATTTATTAAAGATTAAGTTTGCTGAGGCCCTAGTGAATTTACATGAATTTTCCAGTCATTTGTGATTACTGAATAAGAACTTTATAAAATATTTTATGGATGAATTAGAAAAATATATATTTGTATTCAGTTTATATTTTCTTTGAATGTTTTTCTAATTTAAAACATATATATTTTATTTTAGGTATAGTAATCAGGGGAAGAGGAAAAATTTAAATTGTAAAAAATACATTTTGTGTGATTATTTTAAAATTTGTTTTGTCTCATTTTAAATCATTGGAAGTTTTCTGAGGCTCCATAATGGCCCCCTTTTTGAAGCTACCGAAATACCAGAAGTTAGTTTAATTTAGGTAAAAACGGCTTTACAAACAGTTCACACACATTCATTCTGCTTGTGTTTCATCAATAAGGCCTATTTTCATATTTGAAATAGTTCCGTAGCAAATATGGTTATATTGAGTCCAAAAAAACCTTGATGTCGCACACTAAGTAGTATCCTCATGGCTCTCTTTGTTTAATACTACCAATCTGACCATTTTATGAACACACATTGTAAGTACTTTTTATTTTATCTCACTAGTTGTGATGTAGCATGTTGTCTGCATATATTGCCATTTGTTTGATGTTTATTATTATAATTTCAGCCACCTACACACTCAAATTCTCCGTCTCTTTTTCCTGTAGGACATAGAGGAGACGATGAACACTGCTCTGAATGAGCTGAAGGAGCTGGAACGGCAGAGTTCTGCTAAACACGCTCCTGACGTGGTGCTGGACACCCTGGAGCAGATGAAGAACGCTCCCACACCGGCCAGCTCCACCGAGTCCCTCAGCCAACTCCACGGCCTCCTGCTACGGCCCGCCCCGACGGAGCCGCCCATGCGCCGCAGCACCAGCTCCTCTAGCGATACCATGAGCACCTTCAAACCCGCCGTGGCCCCGCGCATGGGGGTGCAGCTCAAGCCCCCTGCCCTGCGGCCCAAACCCATGGTGGCGATACCCAAGACGGGAGCGGCGCCGCATCCGGCCCCCCCTCCACAGGATCCACTGGACAAATCCTGCACCATGTGATTAACTGTGGGAGATGCATTCAGAGCGACAGTAAGGAAACAATGTAAAATTAGGACCATTGCAGTCAGAGCCAGGTTTTTAGTGGATTTTAATGCCATTGAACATTTCGCAACATTTCATTCGCTTTAGAGAGTGGACTAATAGAAATGGTCAGCATTAATGAGTTGTTAGTTTAAAACAGTGTGTGTGTATAGATTTCCAACACTATTTTAGGGTTTATTAATGAACTAGAATAACGTTGGTTACTAAGCATGGTTCAGAAGAGTTACTTAAACAGGTGTTTACTATTTCAGAGAGTTACTTTTTCTCTCATGACCTGTTTAGTGAATTCAAACGGACATTCTTAATATATTCGAAAGACACCTGCGACTAACAGAAAGCTATTTATGTGTATCCAAAAAACTGTTTGCATGCTTGTCCGACACCTTGTTTTTTTCCGCAATACTCCGTGAATAGATTAAGGAGTTCTGAAAATGATATTAAAGAAAGCAACAAATCACTACAGCTTCCTATATTCTTAGGGTGACTTTTTAAATATCAACAGTTTACATCCACTAGAAAAACTGTTAAATGTGAATTATACAGAAACTAAGCAGGGTCTTTGGTTTCTCTGTTTACAGCATTAGGATTGTGGGAAATGTGTCTTTACATCTCAAGAGTGTTTTCTGGTCAGGACTCTTTGAAGTGATGATGTGTGGAATGTTGAGGTTGGAAACGCACTGCCATATAAGGGCATGTGATGTCACATCTTTTGCCCGGCCTGATTGGCTGTTGATCTTGAATGATTCTAAGTTGAATTAGCAAGGCTTTGCTTTGAATATTATATTTTTGATAGTAATATTTGAATATATGCCCAGGGAGTTTGCGTAAACCACATCCGCTTACATTTTTTTTTAAGTACTTCACTCAGTTTCTTATTTAGAACGAAAGAAATATATATTGTGTATATAAATGTACATCCACTAAACCTTTTTTAATTTTTATTTTGTGGGTCTTTTATGTACGTAACTTTCTCCCAGGCCAATTTGGAACAACTGCTCACTATAAACAATATTTTTTTTAGTTTCTCTCTGCTTAATTAAATGTAATCTGTGAATAGTAAAGTCTAGCTGCCAAAAAAAGTAAAGTTCTTCAAGTGCTGCTTAGAGTTTGATGCGGATAGGCTACGAGAATCATTTCTTTATCTGCTTAGCTGACTAAAACCCGTGGCTACCCTATAAGCATGAACGATAATCCTTTTAGTTGTCATATGCAAGTGCTTTTCTAGAAACTTTTAAGGCAATATTTCTTCTTATTTCACCAAACAAGGGAATGATGCCAATAGCCATGGACTCAGAGACTGTTACAGCAGTACTTTCAGTGGGATAGTGCTGTTTCTTTTGTGTGCTAGTGGCCCATTAACCCTTCGTAATAATGTCACATACAGCACCACACCCAAATGAAGTCAGTCACATGACGTACCCAAAGACAAATAAATATGTATAGCATCAGTCACTCCAGTGTATTTGCACTCCAAAATGAAAAATCTGGGATTTCGTATACAGTATATCAATCTTATGTTATCTGTGCATCAAAAATTCACATTATTATGACAGTTTGGCAATAGTTTAGTGTTACTTGTACTGTATTCACTGATAAATATACAACAGTTTACTCCTATTTAGGTCGAATATGCTATGAAATGTGTTTGGATGATGTTACGAAATTGTCCATCGCTGAACCAAGGGGAGAAACTTTAAGACAATATAAGCAATGCCTGTTTTTAAACATGTAAAAGGAACATACTAAAGCCTTTTGATTACCAATTTATATTGAGTGATATTAAAAACGATTACAAAGTGTTTTATTTTTTTTTTAAGAGTGTACATTACGTTGATATTTGAGATCGTATGTCTCTCAGCTAAGCCTTGAGAAATGTTCTCCCTGCAAAACTACACACAGTAGCAAAATCTCTGTATGTATTTAATTGCTGTTTTATCAGTGTGTTCATGTACATCTCTGTACTATGTACTTGTGAAAGTGCCTTTAAAAACTGTTTTAGAGGAACTTCATACAAACGTCCTCTGTGCCGTGGCATTCTTATTTCAGATCCAGTATACCGAGTAAATAAATTATTACTAACGTTGTTCTGTTTATTAAGTTGTAAGAATGATCAAATAAAAAAGATACTGCTTAGCCATTGTGACATTGCACTTTTATGTAAGACTGTATATTTGGCATGTAACATCCTAACAAGTTGTAGAGCTTTTAGAGGACTGCTCAGTCTTTCTAATAAAGAACATAGTTTGGTCAGTTCACTGAGGTGTTGGCTTGTATCTCCTCTTCCTCCTTAGACCGTGTTGTTTTCTTAAAGGATAAGATTGTATGTGGTGACATATGACATTAAATACACATGAAGTCTTCACAATATGATGCTTAAAAACAAAGACAGTGGCTTAATGATTTCCCAGTCTGGACTTGGTTGGTTCCCAGTTGTCACTGTTAATGAGGAAGGAGTGTCAGAGCATTTTGAAAAACAAGATCTGGTTAAACGTGTTTGTTATTTTTTATCGCCTTTTATTAATCTTTTTTAACCCTTCTATCGAAGAGACACCGACCGTACCATTTACCAGTTCAAATTGAACCAATATTATGAATCACAGTCAGAATTTGCAAAGAACTTATTCATAATATAATAATCATGCTTTCTTATAGTTTTAATTGCATGCTAATCATAAACAAACTTTTATTTTCTTATACTATGATGGCCAGGCCATAAGCCTCTTTTAGTCTAACTCTTATTTTTGTTGTAACACACATTTGTGTTGTATTTAACTGCCAAACATTAACAATTTTATAATTTATAACAAGTGGAATTGTCGCCAAAAGATCAGCAATAAATAGTGATGAGGGATGGCATGAAATCACACAAAGAGAGAAAATATCGAGGGAGAAATAGATAATTCTTCTTTGTTTTTGATTAACTTATTGAAAGTGTTAAAAAAATAATAAGATCTCAGCCATCTCCCAGAATTCCTCTTGCCTGCCTGGCAACTAATGTTAATGTTTTTGTTTGTGAAAAGAAAGAGGATGTGATGTGAGAGACTCGAACTGGAAACTAGCAGGAAGGAAATGGTTGACTGGGGCAATGGGAAATGTAAAAATGTTTCATTAACCAGAATCAAGTATTACAGAGAGCATTTTAAGATGTTTATTTTTCAGGGTTACTTAAGACTGAGTTTTATAGGTTTTGCGAAATTCGTTGTTTGTCAACTGCCATTAAAACCCTCAAAAGAACAGCTAGCAGCTATGGTAGCCATGGTGACCTATTGCATGGTTTCCTGGAGTTGCATGCATAGATATAAAGACATAGATTCCTCATTAGTGGCTGTTTTCTTTGGGCCGTAAGCCGTCTGCCATATTGGAACGGTCAAAGCCTGTCCCTGAACATTAGAGAGCAAGTGCTCTGTGCGTCTGCAACCTTAGTTAGACGCATGCATGAATATCTATATCTGCAATAGACTTCAGCAATGTTTTTGCAAAACTAAAATATATCAATACAACAAAATAAGCGTTAGCTAAAAGTTTCCATATAAGTTCAAAAACCTGGAATATTGAGTTAATACAACACATTATCACCTGTGAAAGGTTATCCCATTTCTTCGGGAATTTAAGTCTAATCTCTTCGGTTTCATAACCAGAAGTTACTCGGATCGACGTCAATCCGACTTTCATTTCCAAAATGCAACCCCTGCAACCAAAATCATCCCCTGACTGACGTTACTAGGCTACTTTCTACTCAAGGACCTTGACAGAAATGTAGTTGAGTAAAAAGACCGATATTTGTCTTTCAGATGTAGCCTAGTGAAGTTAAAGTAAAAAGTTTCCAGAAAAAATAATACTCAAGTAAAGTACATATACTCAAAAAGTGCAAGTACAGAACTCAAGTAAATGTACTTTTGTTACTGTCCACCTCTGATTATTAATGACACCTTTAAAATATGGTTGAAAGAGTCTTTGGAACGTATTTCCTAAGTATATATTTAAGACTCTTGGAGGCTGTTGAAATGCAAATTTTCTGTATTGGCCAGTTTTCACAGACAAGCCCTTCAAGCATGGAAATGGGTACAGTATATAAGCACAAATTTTCACCGCACAATTATGTCATATGGAATAACAAAGTGAATAGTGAAAACAAATCACTATTCTATCATACTTGGTTCCATGAAGGGATTAGTAAGACAATTGGTTAATTCCAATGGATATGTGTTATCATATAGGCTATACTGAAGATTTAAATGACCAGTTAAACCAAGAGAGTTTGCTATTGTTCTTGACAAAACTGTTCTTCCAAAGAGTGTGATGTTACTCTAAATAACTCTAATTCAGTGGAAATCAACATGGATGATCTTTGTGGTAACATTTTCATTGATAATGTTAATGTTTAAAAGTAAGTGTCTTAAAAAATACTTACCAGAATATATCCTGCTAAGCATGTTTTGGAAAGATTTAAGCTTAATATTTCACATACCTGTGAATTTTGTGCACTAGAAAAATAAACTAATAAACTAACAAAAAATAAATAAAAAACTTTTTTCACTGTATCTACTCAAGAATATTTTGGAAAGATTTAGAAACCTTTATGAGTAGAAAACTGATGTGTATGATAGAAATGTGTGTATTTGATGTGCTTTTGTATACTCAGAATGACAATTTGGAATGTAAAGAACAACATATTATACAGTTATTTATTTTATTAGGAAATACCATATAGCTTACTTAAAAAGAAGTGGGCTCAATGCAAACCAAATTTTTCACATTTTAAAAATAACTTTAAATTATATGTAATTCAAATGTTTTGAAAGCACTGGATTTTATGTAATTTTTAATTTCTATTTTTGTTTTGTTCTTTCTATCATTTCCTGGCAGCTAATGTTAATGTATTAATGGCATTGAATGAAAAAAAAAAATCCTGTGAGTGACGACACGCGGACCGTTCCAAGATGGCGGGCGCGCCAACGTGTCTTGAGCATAGACTGTAAAAAAATGTGGCTTCTATCAGAGAATATCTACTTCTATCTACGTATACAGATTTTGGGTTGCAGGCGGCAGGGGGCGCCAAATACCAGCATCAGTTTCGCTTTCGTTTACGTTTAAATGCCCCAAACCATCGGCCAAACCCTAGAAGCAGTGAAAACAATTTACCCTCGTTGAAGGCATCAACGAAAATGTCGTATATCGTCTCACGACACATATTTAACTTTCTCTGCAAACATGAAGGCTGTACGGAGTATGGTAAAGTCGAGAGAAATTTGCGGCAGAGTTTCACGGTGGCGGATCAGGTTTTGTCTCAGGTGCTCGATGATCACCAGAGGTTTGTTATAGTTCAGGATCAAGGCTCGAATCCCAGAAACGCCATACCAGCTGCTGACAGCCAGATCATAGCCAAAACCTCACTGCGAGTGTGTAAAAATGACAAATGTGCCGGGTGTGAAGACCTACACCTGTGCAGGTACTTTGTATGTGGAAATTGCAGATTTGGGTAAGTAAACTTTGAGTTAATTCGTAGGCCTGCCGGTTGTAATGAATATGTCACGTGTATGTCATAAACACTAAGGTAGAGATAAGGTATATACCTTTTAAAGTCTATTCCATTAAAACTAACTAGCGTCTGTTAGCACTAGCCCATGTTTACTTTTATTTGTAGTGATCCAGTAGCACCTAGTAGCCTATTTTTTTTTTTTTTAAATTAGTATGATACTAGCACAGTTCCAGTGAAAACTAACTACCATTGTATCTAGTATGTATTTCATTTGCGCTGGTAACTATTTCAGTTTTACTAGCCTAGTTACTATTCCTAAGTTCATTCATTCAGTATCTTGTACTGTAACTATTCTCGTATTCCAGTTTTCTTTTTAATTGAACTAAGTAGCTATTTGATTAGTCATCAGTAAAAAGCCAGTTGCAGCTAGTAAGATGAGAAATGTTTCCAGTATCATTCTTGTCTCATAAATAGGTACTAGTATTTACTCTAGGAAGTAGTAAATTTAGAATAGGTGCCAGCAATAGTTGGAATGCAGCATGCATACTAAATATGCAGTTAATAATAATATTTACACAATAAAATAACATTTGCACAATTTTTGCTTAGACACGATTACAGCTTGTTTGTAAATTACAAAAGAACACTCTGTGTTGTATTTGGATGATATGTTTATGGTAGAAAATAACATTTCACTGTTTATAAATATATTTAATTTGCCTTATTTTTCATTCTTAGGGTGAAATGCAAAAATTCCCATGACTTGACTTCAGCACATAATTCCGACCTCGTGAAAAGTAATGATCTTAATGGCCTTACAAGTGGAGAGTTGTTTCAACTTCTGCTTCAAAATGACCCCTCATTACTTCCTGAGGTCAATATCTATTAAACAGGTTTGCTAGTTATCTCATTCTTTATTCAGGTGACTTTTGTAAGTCAGACTCTGTCTGGACGGTATTTGAAACTGACTTTAAAATATCTAGATTGTGTAAACATTAACTTTTCACCTGCATGAGCATATCTCACTCTGCATTGCATAACAAGAGAAGTGATTACAGAAGCTGTGTACTCTGTCCCAAGATGGCCGAACACACACAACATATATTTATCTTCACATAGTGACTACAGTATGTGACTCTCGTCTTCTGTGATTTGTCTAGGTGTGCTCCCACTACAACAAGGGGATTGGCGAATATGGCAGTTGTAAATATAAAACATCCTGTACCAACCTTCACATCTGCCAGCACTTCCTGCTGGATGACTGTAAGTTTGGAGCAGGCTGCAAAAGGGCCCACAGATTCGATGCAAATGCTCAGAAAATTCTGAATGTCCGAGGACTCGTTCCAGAAAACATGCACAGACTCTGCAAGCTTTACAAGAACAAGTTACTGATTGCTTCTTCCGCTTTCAAGAAAAGTGAGACAGGTGAATGAAAAAAAAAGAGCCACTGATTCTTTTTGTTTGCAAATTAGCGCACATTATTTTGCACTGAACAAAATAGCTGTAGATTACTGCTCTATTTGTTTGGTTCTCCTCCTCCATGTCTCATTCCAATCTGTTTTCTATCTGGACAGCAGCTCTACCAGCAGTGAGAGGTACCAGACACAAATCCAGTAGCTCTGTCAGTGAAGCGGATCACAATGAAATCTGTCTCTTTTTCATACGCACCGGATGTAGTTTCAAAGGTGATTTAATTGAACATCCTTAATTCTAATCGCAAACAAGAACTGTGTCCGAAATCGCATGTCTACCCAGACAGCAACATAGTGTTGGTCCAGATACGGGACACATCTGGTACATGTGGATTCCATGCGCGTACCAGATGTGGGCTGGATCTGGGCCGACATTATGTTGCTGTGTGGGTAGTAGTAGGTACTACATTTTGTTTGAAACTTACTTTGCAGCCGTAAAAGTTCTGTATAGTATGATTATGGGTAGTATGAATGAAATTTGTACTACATACGTCATGTTGACCTACTGTACCATCGTCAGTTGCCATTCATAACTCTTCTCCCAAGTGTCCATCAAACACTCACTCCATATTCTCAGCATAAGTAGTAGGTCATCTGGGTGTGTTCCGCCTAATGTTTATCGGCTGATACGTATTTGGACACTACTTTTTGGCATACAGTTTTGTCATACTATATAGTATGCAAATAAGCATATATGGATGCAGCAAAGAGTTTCTCAACCTTTAAATATAAAAATACATTTATTTTACATTATAAATAAATCAACTCATTAGCATAAATGAAATCTTTTTTCAGCATACTTTTATAGGTTTCTATCCTATAAATAAAATATGCATAATAGTAACTTAAAAAAGTGAAATGTGCTCTGCAACGTGACTTGGACACAAGGGTGAACTCGTCTCACAAGGTGCCACAAATGGTGAATATAAAGAAGTGTCAGTAAGAGCCCCAAAATAGGTGGTATTATTTGCAAGCACTTTTTTTTTAGTAGAACAACAGCTTCATTCTGTTATGTGGGGGTGTAGGGAAACAAGAATTATGGCAAATAAAAAATGTGACCAAAAAAAAACAACCTCTTTACGTTAAACAAAAAACCCATTTGATTAAGTGTGTTTTATTCTCAAAGCAATGTGTTTGACATCCCATCATTTGTGTTCCCTCTAGACAAGTGTGCCCGTTTTCACCACCATCTACCCTATAAATGGCAGATATTGCAGAAGGATGGAACTACGTGGGGTGACTTACTGAATGAAGAGGAGGTTGAGAAGGCATACTGCAGTCCAGCTAATGTTCTGTGGTATAGAAAGATACACATATATACTTAGTGATATTTTAATGAGTTTTCTAAAAACATTAATGTTGCAAATCTAGCGTTTCATCACTTGCCAAAGTAACCGATGCCCTTGTAGAAATGCTTTTTCAGTTGTAAGTGATTAATCTTTTTTGTGTCCAATAAGAGGGAAGGTTACTGGTATGATATCAGTAGTATCAGAGACAATTTATATAGAGACATGCCACTTCCTCAATCCTCAATACAACTATATAGGGAAAACCCGTAACGCCAAAGATGGCGGTTGTATGCACATGCCCCGCCCCTCCCGCTGGAAAGCCAATCGTCTGCTTTTAACAGTCAAGCCGGGAAACATGTAAGCCTATCGTCTGGTTCCACTGACGCATGCGCACAGTTGAGGTTTGCAACAGCGGAGATGAGAACCCTTGCGCATGCGTAGTAAACGTATAACCTGTGGGGAAAAGGGCCTTTTAAACCTTATTTTGGGGCAAAGTCATCAAACTTTTTCAGCGATTTTTATCATATTTTACTGCTGTTTCTATACAAGCAGTTTTTATGTCCCGGTGACCAGTGAAAGTGCAGTTCTGACTCTCTGCCCATTCATTTAGATAGGAGCCTGGTCTTGTTAGTCCGAAATAGCTGCCCGGAGGCGTTGCCAAGATGGCGGCCGAGTGGCATGACTTGCCTAAAAGGACTTTGGTAGTATTCAGCTAGTCATGTGATCTTAATATGTCTGCTCCTATGAGGAGACCCGCTTCATGTCAAATAAAATGTATTTTATAAGTTATTGATGTGAAAAATGGAAAATTGATTGGAAAAATAGTGCCCAATTAAAGATTGTACATGTGCACCTGAAGTGGCCAGTAATTGTAGTTGTTTGTCATGATTTTTATAACACTTGTTGTGTTCTCCATATTGCAGTATTACCCAGAGCAGCTCGGGGCATCATCAGGTAGTGGACTTTATGTCAATGACTTGTGGAGTGTCAGAAGTCCGTCGGCTGTCCACAGCATCTTCTGTTACTAAACCACCCCATTTCATTCTGACCACTGAATGGATCTGGTACTGGAGGAATGACAAGGGAGGTTGGACTGAGTATGGCAAAGGGGTCAGTGACACATTTGCAACACAATACCTCTTAAAAAAACGATTCTAAAGCTTGTTCTTGAAGAATAATACTATACATTTACAGTTATTCATGTCAATATATTATACAAAAAACCTGTTAGCTTTTTTAACTACATTTCACAGCAGTTATTGTGTGAATCTTACAGGAGGATTCTAAACTCATGGCGTCAGTCACCTCAGAAGACCTCGAGAAACATTACCTGGCTGACAGAGAAAAGGAAATCTCATTCACTTCGGAGAACCATCAATACGTCCTCAAATTAAAAGGTACTTGGGTTGTTACTGTTAACTAAAACTAAATCATTTCTTTATTAAAATAAAGCTGAAATAAATTCTAAATATTAAATGAAAAACTTAAATGAGCATTAGAAATGTTGCTTTGGCAACTAACTGAAAAAAAAAAAGAATAACAATGACAAAAGCACATGCAATTACTAACCTAAATTATAACAAAATTGAACATAAAAATAAAGGTAATACAAAACAATAAATACTATAATAATATATAAATAAGGTCACACTTCTAACTATTAATTACGACTTTTGCCTCAATAAACTCCTAATTACTGCTTATTAATTAAACGTTACGTTTATGTATTGGGTAGGATTAGGAAAGTAGAATATTGTCATGCAGAATAAGGCATTAATATGTGATTTATAAGTACTGATAAACAGCCAATATCCTAGTAATATGCGTGCTAATAAGCAACACGTTGATAGTGAGAATTGGACCCTAAACTAAACTGTTACCATAAATAATACTAAAATAGAGTTGACATGATGTTTTGGCAAATCATTTTCAGAGATGTGCCAGCAAAATCTGAAGTACAAAACTGAAAGGGACGTTAGAAGGAGACCACGTTTTGTTTCTGACGAAGATGTCAAAAGCAAAATCAAGGGGTATGTTATACTCTACCACTTGTCAATTACATGCACACACATTGAACATGATTTATCTGTTGTTCAGTGCACTTTAGTGTATTATGTTTTAATTAGCAGTGAGTCTCCAGACAGCTCAGCATCTTCTTCTGTGGAAGTTCCTCCTTACTGGGACAAAGGAGCTCTTCCTAGCTTCACTTACAAGGTACAAAGTCCAATCTCATTGAGTACAGAGAGGTCAAGCATTTATTAAACGCTATGGGAATCAATTCTGTACTGTACTTGGGGTTATACTGTAGATGAAGATTAGTATTTCTACTCTTACTACTCATTAAGCATTTTATCCAAAGCGACTTACATATGTGGAACATCACATACATAGTTTTTATGTTAGTCGAAAAGCATCAGTTGGCAACAGTCATTTAATAATACTGACTTTCTGAAACTTAAACAGTGTAATGTTTCCTCAGATTATTCCTTTGCAAAGCTCTTCCAAGGAGTACCAAAGGGTGGGTTCAATGTTTAGTAAAACAATGGCCAAAAGCATCATTCACAGCATTGAAAGAGTGCAGAATCCTTCTCTCTGGAAGGTCTTTCAGTGGTACGTTTTTTTTTCCATATATTTCTATATAATATTTCACTAGAAAAACAACAACATGACTACTAGAAGAAAGTTCATTTGCACAAGGTCATTACATATTATACTTCAGCTATACTGTATTTGTAAATGATGCTTAGCCTAGAAATCTAGACGCACCCTAGCGGCAGCAAAAAATATTTTGCAGCAAAGTGTGGTCTAGCAACTCTCCGTTGGCTTTTCGAGCTGGAAAAACCAAACTCTGGTCAGGCCAATCACATTGTGTATAGAGTTGGTGGGCGGGCTTAACAATGACGGCAGAGATGTGACGGTTCCGCGTGATTTCCATTGGTGATTTCCCTGCTAACGTTACTTGAAAACAAGGAAGATGCTGCTGGCGAACAGCGGTCTTTCGAATCGGATTTGGCCGCGACTCTGGAGGACTTGGAGTTAAGAGAACGTAACTTAAGTCATTCTTAAAAAAGGAAGATGTGTTCGGAGTTTTGACGATCGGATACGGCAAAAGTTTAATATATCAACTAGCTCCGCTGGTGGAAAAATGCATGGGACTCACACAGCCACAGCCGTTCGTTGCTCTGGTTGGTTGGAAGAGCTTTTTCAGAACTGAGTTCACTTTCAAGCCATTTTAGTAAATGTATAAAGTAATTTCCCCTCAAAATCTCACAGGTGTAGTTTATCACTTGAACGATGAACATGTTCCATGAATGTGGGATGAACATAAAGTAAACAAATTCTTAATCTTTGATTTGAACAATATACTATTGTAATTTAAATTTTAACTTGGTATTTTGCTTGAAAAATGGAATATTGCAGCATTTATTATAAATGTACACATCTTTTTTTTTAAATGAATGTGCCCTTGTAATCTTTAACCAGAACAACTTTCCCTCCCACTTGCGACGATATCTCTTCTTTTCTCTGTTGATTTTTTTTTTTGGGATCACAATGATCCAATCAATTCCCGATGGACAAAATTAAGTCCCAGCCTACATTTCTTTTCTTGCTCAACAAAGCCGTTTCACTCGGATGTACTGCACATCGTAATAGGGGGGAAAAAAGACTACCGCAACTTCCGTTTCATGACAACTTTAATATTAATAAGTGTTTAATACACTATTTACATTCTAAGTGGGTAATAATAGTATTTTGAATATGGTATACGCGGTTTATTGATCTAATTTACCCATTATACCATGTTTTTTTTTCTAGGCAAAAAGAACAAATGACTTTGAAGAGTGGAGGGAATGCTGTGAACCAGCGTTACCTTTTCCATGGTACGGATGAGTCTTTCATAGATGCCATCTGTGAGCAGAACTTTGACTGGAGGATCTGTGGCAGTCATGGGACAAGTTATGGGAAAGGTATTTATGCATTTGCTTCATCTTTGCAGCATATAACATCTATTCATCATATTATGTACAATGAAAGTTATTAAATACTATTGTATGTTTCTGAATTGATTTTTAATGATTAACAGGTAGCTACTTTGCCAGAGATGCTTTATACTCTGACAGATATGCAAAATCCAGGAACGGCAAGACCAAGAAGATGTTTGTGGCACTGGTGCTGGTCGGAGACTTCACAAGGGGTAACAGTGGTTTTCTCCGCCCTCCACAGAAACCCAACAGTCAAAGCTTTTACAACAGCTGTGTTGACAATGAGACTAACCCAGCCATTTTTGTTGTGTTTGAGAAATTCCAGATCTATCCTGAGTACATCATTGAATACTCTTAATTTGTGTAATCAAACTATTTTTAAATATGTTTGATACATTGAAACATTCTAGTAAACAAATTCAGGCTTGCTTATATACTTATTTCTTGAAATAGTTCTGAAAGTGACACAAACAATTTATGTTAACATCACTGAACATAACCAAAATCTACAACTCTTTAGCATTTTAAAGTATTTTCTTTCAAGAAAATGTTTGTAGGGTATTACATATTAGGTAATTGTATTTTATGTAATGTCTTTATGTATTAGGTGCAATCACTGTATTTCCTTATTGGCTTTGGCACTGAGAAAAAATGGTTTTAATACTATATCAGTTGTATAATCAAAGGTATATAGTATAGGTGTATATATAGTATAATCACTAACCATAAATCAATCAATAATTCAGTTTTATTGCACTAGATTTTAATGCAGAATATGAAAGGTAAATGATGAGTTTGAGAATTGTATGAACACACTGAGCATTAACTCAAGCCCTTGAATTACTGGAGCGTTACTAAGGTTTTATTTTTTATTTTATTTTTATGTTCAATGAGGTGGATGGAATTAAACTAATACTGTTACAGACTGGTACTTTGTACTATTATTTTAATTATTATTACAGTTATTTTTAAAAAGTATATAAAAATCAGCCCAAATAAAACATGTTTACCAAAAAAAATGAAAATTGTGTCATCAGAAACAGGTGTGATTTGATCAAGTTTAACTTTATTTTAATTAGTTGATTCATTGAAAAGATCTGACACATAATTCATCAACAAAACAAAATTTGCTACTTCTCATGAATGTGAAAAGGTAGGATAGGATGGATGTCTAGAACTTAAATATCGGTCTGTCACAGTTATCGCATGAGATGACTTAAAATATAGTGCACCACTTTTATGGTGAATTAAGACGTTCACCTTTCCTGTTTAGGCTAAGTGGCATAATGACACAATTTCCTTTTTTTCGCGAACTATCCCTACATCAGTCTCTGTTAGTATTTGATTTTGACGTTTCCACCCATCACATTCTTGGACCTCTGGGAAAATGCTGAAATGCAAAGTATAGCTCTGCTATAAACAATACAGTTTGACAAATAACTATGAAAGATTTGCAGCATGTAATATCCAGAACAAAATCGCAACTTTTATTTGTAGATCATAAATCAAGAAATGCAAAATCACTAATAAAGGAGATTAACTATGTGATTGCTCAATAATGCAGTGAAAAACCATGTGAAAAACAGGCAAGGGGAAGAAAGACATTTACCAGGAAATCATGAGTAGGCAAAAGAGCAGGTCAGATATTATTGGGGAGTCACTGCGACCCCTGGTGGCAAGACTGAGAAGTGAAGTCTTGGAAATCGGGTCTTTGAGACTACTAACCGAAGACTCTGGTCCCCTCAGCGGCTTTTTCAGGCCAAGAACCGTCCACGTTTACAGTAAGTTGGTTTTTAAAATACAAAACAAACTGACAGAGTTCTATCGAAAAGTTCTGTGGTTTAAAACTCATTAAACCATTTCATGTGTGGGTCTAAGATGCTTGATATCAAATAATGAGGATGAAGATAAATACATGTATACTGAGCGATAAACCATTTATTTAGTCATCATTAATACTTTCAATTTCAAATAATTTGAATATGTCATCAAAGTTTACAGTTCACAGTAAACATTCACATTCAACTAAATGAGTTAAGATAATGCCACACAATACAGCAAGCTGCACACTCTGAACCTCAATAATCTCATTATTCTGGTACTGGACTGTATATTCACATAATATAAAATACATAAAATAACAGTTTAATCAACATAAAATCAAATGCCTTGTGGGCAACAAGGCAAGACGTCTCATCCCAGTTGCTTTTATCAAATGTACTATACAGCATGTGACACTGTGTTGAAATCAGTTTTAATCAAACAATTATTACAGATTTGTTTGTCATATGACTCCAGAATAAGTAATATGATTTCTAAATAATTTGATTAGAATCAGACTGTGCAGCTGAGAACTGAAACCGTATCAGGACTCATCCTCAAAATTCTCCCTCTTGGTGATTTTGACAAAAATACCATTCTTGGGTCCGAGGGTGGTGTTCGACTTTAATTCCAGAGGAACCTGTGTGACATGAAAGAGAAAATATTGGAAAACAGAATCTACATGCATACTAAAGCTGCACTTTTCCAGTCAAACAATGACAAACCTCAGTGTCCTCGCAGGCCACAACGTTAAACCTCCTAAATATGTGAACCAGAGCCACTTTAATCTCCAGCTGGGCCAATCTCATGCCCACACAGCTGCGTGGCCCCGCTCCAAATGGCAGATACACAAATGGGTGCCGGCTGGCCTTGGCTTCTGGAGTGAACCTGAGACAAATACAGAGTTCATTGTGAGCACATCACACGGGAGGCAGGCAAACAAAATGGAGAAATAGCTGTGTACAGATTGTGGAAAAATAGAGGATTTGAAATAACTACAAGATATTCTGTAAGATACCGTACAAAAGTTTTTGAAAGAATGCTACTTAATGTGCTACTTAATATTTTTGTGGAAACCATGATACATTTTTTTTTCAAGATTCTTTGATGAATAGAAAGATTCAAAAGAACAGTATTGGAAATGGAAATTCTTTGTAACATTATAAATGTCTTTACTGTCACTTTTGAACAATGTAATGTGTTCTTGCTGAATAAAATTATTAATTTCTTTAATAAACCTTTCTGACCCCAAACTTTTGCATGGTAATGTAACTACGCTAAACGTAGGGCCCGTTTACACAACACCGGTTTCAACTAAAAACTGTTATTTTTAACGAAATGTGATGCTGTTTAAAGAAAAAACAGCATCACATTTGCATCACTCAATTTGACTAGCTCATGGAAAACCGTTGCTGTGCAATGCTGACAGCCATAATAGCATCATAGACATAAATGATCATTGTTACAGAACTGTTCTGCTTAGAAAGGACTGGCTGAAAGACAGTTCACCTCTCCGGGATGAATTTCGTAGGTTCGGTCCAGTGCTCTGGGTCATAGTGAAGGAAACCTGTAGGGATTTCCAGAGATGATCCTTTAGGCAGAAGCTGGCCATTCACGACACAGTCTTGCTGAACATCTCGTGCAAACCTGTGATGAAATACACAAAAGAAACATGATATTTAAGATTTACTCTGGGGGGAAAAGTGCATGCTAGTTCAATGCCCAGAACCAATGTGTTTTCAACCGGTTATAAAATAGTAGCTGTCATACCTGAATGCAGGTGGGTAGAGTCTGAGCGACTCGCATATGACCAAGTCTAAATACTTCAGCTCCTGGACATTAGTGTAATCTGCTGTCTCCTGAAAAAGAGAATTAAACGTATTGAGGATGACAACACCAATCCTGCACTAAAATATTTCTAGCTACCATATATGGCCAGTAGGTGGCAGCACAGCAGCAATAATCAGTGATCCATTCCAAACAACATAAAATGGCTTTTAAAATAAAATTGAAACAAATGTACTATATATTGTACTGTATAACGTTTCTTTGTGATCAATATTTTTATTGTCTTGAAATTAGTAGAACGCAAATCATATGTACAAACTATGTTCAGATTGATGCCCAAGAGCTGCCTAGAGTTTAAAATAAATAAATAAATAAATAGTATTTGTTTGAACTGAAAACGAAGCAGACGCAGCCCAGCAGGCAGTGCTTAGTAGTCTATCTCTGCATGGCTCTGTGAAAATAGGGGTCAGGCACTGAGCACGCACGCAGTTCTGCCCACATCCTCGGCCTCTGAGGCCCCCAGTCATGCAATGTGGGCATTATAAATGACTGGCTGCTCTAAAGTCACTCTGTTCCACCAAGAAAAGCATCCGTCGCAGAGATGAGAGGATGCAGCGGGGCGAGAAGAGGGGCAAATTCTGCCACGCTGGATACATCCTCCACAGGCGCCCACCCCCCTGTTGTTACACTGTCAGTAGTCAGTTCTCGTTGGGCGTCATTCTGGTTCCAGTGTAGAGTGACATGGCAGTGATGAAACACTGTGAGAAGGGCAGCACTTTGTCTCGCTGCAGCAGACGAGTTGGTTTGCATGGTGTTGTGCATTTCAACAACAGACTCACAAGGGACTGAAAGGTGCTCTTAGATTTAAAGTCCCCCTGTAGTCAATAATTTTATCCATTAAAACTAATCTTTGATCACCCAAATGACATATTTAAATGTTTTTTCCTTGAAAAAAAATGTCTTCTTGCCTTAAAATAGCTTGAATGTAACTCTACACCCTTGCCTTATTTAGTATACACGGTTCTATGAATATGCAAATTAGCCCCGCGTCCACTCACTCACACCAGATCAGAGATTCACTCGTTGACGATCACACGTTGACGTGATTGGTTACAAGGTAGTTTGTGATGTCAGAAACACCAACGATTTCAAACCGCGTTTTAGAGACTGTCTTTGGTTCACTGCAGTATTAAGGAGAAAATACTCAGCAGTGGTGTTGACATGAATTTGCACATGGTTTGTCTTAAAGGATATTAAAAACACCACATAGACATATAAACAACATTAAAAACTTGATTTTCACCACAGGGGGACTTTAAGACTTGTAAGGGTCGTTTAAATGACCACTAATTATTGACTAAACTATGGTGACCATGGAGAAATTTAGTAGTAATGCTTATCTAACATATGTTTACCTAATCTCTGCCACAAACTACAAAGCGATCAATATTTACCTATCTGTGCCATTTGTTTCAGTAGGTATTTTAAATTCTGTTGGCACGGCTCTGTATTATTTCAATAATTTCTTTGAGAGAATGTGAACTATTCACCGTATTTCTGCCGAAAGGACAGATCCTCTGTTTATTCTCTGACTCGCAGCCTCAAGTATGACTAAATTTAACTCCACTTGAATGCACATTGATGCCTCTAAAATCACAAAGCAAGGTCAGACGGCCCTGTAGATAGACTAGCCGATTCTTTAAGTCCCGGTTGATTCTCTTTTTTCTTTCTTTTTTAAGCTTTCATCAAGCAAACAACAGCAGCCCAGTACAAAAGATTGATGTCTATGATAGACCATGCACAATGTTGCTATAATGCATGTGCTATTTCTTCCTGAATGAGCTTGAATGCCACTTTATTAACAACTGATCAGAGACCGCAAACAATTTTGGTCTGAAAGTGGCTAAAGAAGAGCTCAAGAAAAACCCAATACAAAGCAAAGCAAATGCAAATGTTAGACAGGGGTTCTTGAGCTCTGTTTGTTTTCATCCTGCTAGCATGGAAGGGGAATATTTCTGGTTTAATAAGTGCGCCAAACCTTGTTTGTAGACCGACACTTCCCTAAGCTACAGAAATCAACCATTACAAGCTTATGGGCCACTGGCGAAGAAACAAAAAAGACATTCTGGGACTCAAATAAGGCCATTTTAATCCTTGTCTAAATTCATTTACACACCCTTCACCCTCAAACATGTTGATTGTTGGCCTTTTTTTTTAGAGATTAAGATGTTTCTCAGATGTTACCATGTTTCTAAATTCACGACAGGCACGCTCTGAATTTAATTGGACATTTCCTTGTTCTCATATGGCGACAGCAAACACATTCCACATCGCAAGTAACCTAATGAATCCTCATTAATAAGTATATAGAAAAATCTGTAAAAAAAAAAGTAACAGAACATGTAATTAAAATCCAAAGGGCCGTACCATTGGAATTAATAAAGCAAGAAAACCCTCAGAAATGATTTGACCTAAAAATATGTAAACGTTTCCTTCAAATTAATTTCAAGAGAGACAAAAAAAAGCCTTGCCGTGTTCAAAGGAGCACCCTGCTAAAACAACCCATTTCTGTGGTATTTCTTGGTATTAATATCAGCCTCTTTTCAGAAAATGAGATTCATTTCTCTTGCGTGAGAGCGTGTGAAGTGTTCGCAGGCCTTGGAACGCAGACAGCCTGCCTCTTCACGTCTGCCGTCTCCCTTATTTATGCTTCTGCCTTCATTCACGTCTTAGAGGAGACAGGCTATCAATCAGTTTGTGAATTTTAGACATTTAACCTCCTGTTTACGGCTAGCTGCCCATGATATGTGTGCATGCGTATGTGATACGAATTTTTTGCATAACTGGATGAGCATATAGCCTACATTATATCAGTGGCCCTCAACTGTTTTACTTTATTTTATATTGGACATCAAATGGCAACTCACCACAGTAATACATTGTTTTTGTAAAACAAAGATTCACATTATTATCATTATTCATTTTTATTATATAAATTTTTATTTATTAAATACTAAGCAGCACAACTGTTTTTAACAATGATAATAACAAATGTTTCTTGTTCAAACCAGCATATTAGAATGATTTCTGAAGGGTCATGTGACACTGAAAAAAAAAAAAAAATCAGCTTTGCCATCACAGGACATTTTATTATATATATATATATATATATATATTTAAAACATATTTTAAATCATATTTTTGACCAAATTAATGCAGCCTTGGTGAGCATAATAGACTTCTTTCAAAAAGTTTTTAGAAATCTTACCAACCCCAAACTTCTGAACTCTATACCTTACAGTTAAAGGTTCAATAGGTTATAGGTTTCAAAATGGATAGATTTTTTTCTAAATTGATTTTAAAAAAATCAAAAAAAGTTTTCCTTGCTATGCGTGACCTTTCCAAACCCACAAATTTAAAAGCACTTGCTTATATTATATCTTATTTTCCCACTTTAGTCCCTTTGCCTTTTTGTAAATGTAGCCATCCGGTTCTAAGGGAAAATTCAGGTTAAACAGTACCTATGAGTTGAGGACGGTTAATATGGCTCTTTATCTCACCCATCCCTTAGGGTTTCCACAGAAAGAGTTATTTATTGTTATTGATAGTGATGGAGGCATGCATGTTCAGACAGGAGATGGCTCAAGGGTGTCGTTACTGCATAAACACAATGAGTCTCATCTTGCATTGTCTTCTGATAGTGTGGAGCAGGTGCAGACAGGCTGGAAAACCTATTGTGTTTCTAAAACCACAGATATTTGTGCATCATATCAGTTCAAGTAATTCTTAAAGGCACATTTAAAACCAAAAAAGAAAAGCAGCCATTTTGTGAGGGTTTAAAAAGCATTATTAAACAGAGTAGAGACTAAATCCGTTCATTCAGAGTCAGATTAATGGCTTTTAATTGTATGGCCTCCTCAAAGAGATTCATTAATTTCACGGCACGTATAGAAAATGAACAGGTTTTTTGGCAGTTTAGAATTGTAAATCGTTAAACTCGTGTATCAAGACCTCTGGTTTCCTTCGAGCTTGGAAATCAGCCCCCTGCAGTGACTATTTCCTTGGCCAAATGGTTAATTAGGGAAGCTAATTGTAGGGAGTGTCACACACATTGATTGTGCTCTTATCAACTGGAGACAGCCTATGTCAGAAGACTGTGGGCCTGCTGTATGAATGATACAGTTCTGGCCGATGCCTGAACTCTAGAATGAAGGACAAACAATAGGCAAACTAATTAAAAATGCCTAATTAAAATCACCTGAGCAGAAAATCAATACTTTGTCATGGTCTGAATAGTTGACGGAAGAGAATTTGTCCCAGCTCCAGTCGCAAGGCCTCGCAGGCAAAGAAAAGTCTGAAAATTAGACAATTTTGGTTGACATATTGAGGTATTTCTAAGTGAAATTGAAGATTCAACCAGAAAAATAATAGATTTAGTCCTTTGGGAACTGAATGGATTGTGAATAGTGAAGGCATCATGTCAGAATGGAGCCAGAACTCATTATGAGTTTTGTATGGAGGACGACTATGCTTCTGAAAACCCACCGCCACCCAATTATGAGGGGACCATTTAAACTGGATCTGGAGACGTTATCTCGACAATGATGTACAATTTTTTATTTATTTTTTTAAATTTGAATACAGATGTCATGTTTTAGAAGACATTGTCAAAACGATTCATTTTCACACAGATCCACGTAAGCGACTAAAAACGCGTATTCATGCCTGGCCAGTAGTTGGCGATGTTACTTTGTAAAGAAACACTACACGCATATCAGGGTTTCCGTTGTCCGGTAATCACCGGACATTGGCCGGGGAAAAAATGAAATGTACGACAAAATTAAATCTCTAGGGTCAAATTATCCGATTAAAATGGCCTAATAATCCCACCCCCTTAACACAATCGGAATTTGAGAATAAGCCTAAAATGTATAAAGCAAAAATACACCGACCGATCAGAAGGATTATTTGCCATTTTACAAGCATTGAGTCTGCAGACACCGCTCCTTATCGATGCCGTAAGCCTGCGACGTGATGCGCTCGCTGTCATGACAGCGCTCCGTGGCTATGG